GTTGCTATCGCTCAGAAAAGGGACACAGAAGTGAGTACTTAACTTCACATAGTTCAATGGCAAAGCATCTGTCTCCAGCTTCCTTCAAGCTTCCGCTTGAACCCCTGCCAGTCAGAGCCTTACATGGAGTCAGACCATTGTCTCATATAGCTCAGTATTGTCTTCTCTGACTGGCAGTGGCTCCCCAGGGTTTCAAGCAGAAGCTTTTCACAGACCTAGCTAGAGACACAATCAGTCATAAGGGAAATGACCTGTGCACTTGATTGGGGTATTATTGCCCATGCAGTCCAATGCCTTGGCATTGAAAGCAAGGGCTGAGCAAATTAAGGCCTGCCTTTCTGTAAAGGGACGTGGGTGGCGCTGTGGTCTAAACCACTGAGCCTCTTGGGCTTGCCAATCAGAAGGTCGGCGGTTCAAATCCATGCGACAGGGTGAGCTCCTGTTACTCTGTCCCAGCTCCTGCCAACCTAGCAGTTTGAAAGCATGCAAGGGCAAGTAGATAAATAGGAATCACTGTAGAAGGAAGGTAAACAGCGTTTCCGTGCTCTCTGGTTTTCATCACAGTGTTCCATTGTGCCAGAAGCAATTTAGTCATGCTGGCCACATGACCCGGAAAGCTGTGTGTGGACAAACGCCGGCTCCCTCGGCCTGAAAGCAAGATGAGCGCCGCAACCCCATAGTCACCTTTGACTGGACTTCACCATCCAGCGGTCCTTTACCTTTTACTTTTTCCTTCTCACTGAGCTCTTGCTCCCTTCAGGATTCCTCACCACCAGCACCACCCAGTCACCGAAACGCCTTTTATGTGGGAAAGGAACAAGAGCTCCATTTGCACAAACTCTTCAAACATCAGGGGTTAACGGAAAGGGCTTCCAAATTGAAGAAGGAAACAGATATGTTGGAAGCAGCAAAGGTCCTTCATGGAAATGGGAGTGTGTGTGTGTGTGTGTGTGTGTGTGTGTGTGTGTTCCAAAAGTACCATTACAGGCTGACATTCCTTCATGATGCTGCTTGAGTGAGAAGAGGTCATCTGGCCTTGTATCTCCATTACTGGGGAAGGACTGTGGTGGAATCGTTTTAGATTTTCCCTTCGGATGCCAAACAGGCCCTAACGCTGTGTACACCCTGCCAAAGGCCTTCTTCTGCCCATTCTCCTCTCTGCCGCGAACTTAAAGAGGTTAATCTCTTATTCTTACGGGACGAGCTAAAACAAGAGAAGTGGAATTTATACGTATTAAACATTGGCTTGGCCCATTTCCCCTCAGGTTTGCACACACGTATATCCACACCATCCACACCAGGGTGTCTAAAACGGCTGGAAATTGTGCTTGCGTGCCTGCTTAGCACAAGGGATAGTCCTCGATCACAGAACATCACCCAGGATGCTGACTGCCATCTAAGGTGTCAGCTTGACACTTGTTTTTAAATGTGGCCATTGATGGATGGATGATCTGGGTATGAAGCAAATATCCTCCTTTTCTCTCTCTAAGGCAGGCGTAAGTTCAAATCCCACTTTCATGTCAAGTTTACGGATACAGCTCTTTACATATGCAAGGAGGCTGCTTTCCCCCCTACCCCCTACCCTTAAATCTAATGTTATGCTTCTGAATACAGAATTTACCTAAGTAAATAATTATTTTTAAACCTAAGATTTAGGCAGCATTAGGATTTGATGTTATGCTAATGTTTGACAATTACTAAATGTGGGTATCAGGCAGTATTTTTTTTAAAGTTTAATTTAAAGCAATTTGACATGGAAAGGTTATTACTTTAGTTGCCAATAAAAGCTGTACTTTTAACATAAGTGTACACTAGACCCTAGGGTATGTGACTATTATCTTTTCTGCAATTATGTGGTGTTCTACATAAATGCTAAAAAAAAAAAAATTAGAAATATCAAAAGTATGAACTTAGATACAATATAAAAAAAAGTTGAATAGATAAAACCAGAAAGCAAGTTGACATGAACATAGACAGGTTGAGGTTTCCCCCTAGAGGTAATATTTGGAAAATCCTGTAGCATTACGGTTAATACATGAATTCAGTTTTTAAAATTGGCAAAAACATAAACTCTGGTCAGAGTATTGCTTTGTCTTGTAAATTTGTAAAAACAAACAGACCGTGAAATATGGATGACTCTGTCATGTAGGCATCCTGATATCTGTAATCAAGTAATTTCCTTTCAGCAACCCAGAGTAAGGCAATCCTTTACATTTTACCACATCCCCTCTCAGTTTTACTGGACAACCACCTTGGCGAAGAGCTCTGATGAACTGAAAAACTTGCTCACTTTTTGGTGGCATCTTTGTAGCCATAGATTGATTCTTCTTGTATCAATGTGATGTGTAAATTTTGCTGGCATCCCACAAAAGCAGGGCTTTTTTTCCAGCTGGAACTCAGTTCTGGCACCTTTCTGGTGGGCACCATTGCCATTATAAGAGAACAAGGGTTCGTGGTGAGTTCCAGCACCATCCAGCCTTAGGTGAGATGGGTGGTGACTGAGACAGAAACTTCTTGGTTGTGACACCCAGCTTCTGAAATTCCTTCTGGGACCGCTCACCTGGCACCTATATAGATGTCTTTTCAGTGCCAGGCAAAGGGCTCTTTATTTCCCACGACACCTTTAACACTGAATTGCACTGTTTTATTTCTGTTGTTTTGTCTGCTGCTATTGACTTTTGTATTATTTTAGCTTGCTCTGGGGACTAGGAAAGGAAAATGTGGTTGTGGAAGAGGAGGCAGGCCCTCCCAGGACCCTGAGCAGGACTTCAGTCACCTCACTCTTGCTCACATCCAGTTGAACAAGAGAGCTCACTTTTGCAAGTGAATTCATGTGACATCCTTAAAACACTGATCTCAAACGACTTGGACAGGGGTCGGGGAAAACTTACATCAGATATCTGTGGAGTAAGTGGACAAATCCTGCAAAAGACTGGTAGCTGGTTAAAGAACAGTAAGCAGAGAGTAGAACTAAATAGCGAGATGTTGGCTCAACCCTTGGTGCTAGATGACAGCATTTACTGTGAAGGGACAAAGGGAAAATCCCCCTGCCAAAGCAATGCCCCTTTAGCCTTCTTAAATAAGTAGTTGTGGTTGTGGTGGATAGCTCCATGCACATCAATGCATATGTGAAGAAAGGAATTCTACTCCCTCCCCAATGCTTGATTACAATGAACCACCTTTAACATTTTAATGCCTGGTTTGGGGATTATTGTTTTTTTGGAACAACTTGGTGTCATCAGCAATAACTCCATATTATTAACACCAGTCCAAAAGGAATCAATCCCAGTGCAGAGCTTTGGAGAACCCTGCTTCGTACATCCCTCCATTACAAGAACTGATTATTTTCCAGGCTACTCTGACATATTGGTGAGGGTATGCCCCTCTCCTGTACCCATGAGGTTGATTCTTTACACCAAGGTTTATGATCTATAAGCCACGATTTGGGGATTTGGAAGCCCCTTGTAGACTGCAGTACGATGGTTTCTACTTAGTTCAGAAAATGCTGCGGTGTTACAGACCTGTTGGCATATTTATAGCTCAAGGAGCTAGTCCAAAAGATTACTAACCAATACCACTTTACCCGCCATTACTGTGAAGAAGTATATACACAAACAATATCGTCGGTGGAGGAAGGGAGAAGCGCCATTGACTTGAACAGAAGGACTAAATTATATGGTCTTATGACTACAATGTGATTCATATCATAATTTTGCCCCAGATGTTTCCAGTTTGAAAGTCGGAGAAGTCATTATTGGACATAAAAGGTTGGTTCGCAGTCTGCTTACTCCATAGTCTTTCCACTAGGTCTGGAAAAAAAATAAGGCTTTTTTTTCTTATTATTATTATTATGCCAATTGCAAATGGTGGCTTATGTTTCAAATTAGCTGAAGTTTGTTATTTTTCCCTCTTAGGTAGGGTCTAAAACAAGCTGTTCACAAGAGGTCCAGCCACAGTATACAAGTCCCCCTAGAATTAGTTGGAAGAACTCCTGATGAGTTCACTCCTGTTTGTACATTAACCTTGGGATGAAAGGCCAGCCACAGTCATGTGAGAATCAAACCAAGTTTTCCAAAGCATGACACAATTTGATGGAAGTGTACGGGGCTCACAGAAAAATGTTTCGTGAGCCCAGAAAAACAATGAAAAAGCTTTAAGTTTTTAATGGTTCCACTTGAAGAATTACTAAGAGGTTGCTGACTCCAGAGGCCACACTGTAATGTTTGGAAGAAGAAACGGGTCAGGGAAGGAAGAACAGCCAACTCAGCTTGTGATGGGCAGTAGAAAGTCATGAAGGTGGGTGGAAAATTAGGCTAAGAATACAGCTCATCTGCCCCCCTCCATATCAGCATTTGCCGAGAGCAAAAATTAGTATCCCAGATGAATGTTGGTGTTTGCATAGGACTGCATCCATAGATTTGTCAGATTATGCTAAGAAAATATAAACTCCACATTTATAGCAGTAAAGGGCAATGGAAGGGCCACTGTGCCCTGCAGATGGACAGCTTTCCCCACCATTTCTAGAGCTATTGCCAGCCTACAGGTGCATCACAAGTAAGGATGCTTGAGGAATTCGACCTTGTAATGCAACGGATCTCATCCTCACTTCCTGGACTGAAATCCGGACTAGAAATTAGTTTATCCCCCAGCTATAAGCCTTCGTAAACATTTTGCTGAAGTTCTCAGCACACCTGCAAAAATCAGAGCTACACTTTAAAATGTGTGTTTTGAGAGACACTATGTTTAAAAAATGTGTATTTAAAATGCAAACTTTGTGCAGCATTTTTAAAAATGGGATGCAGGTCAACCCTGGGCAAGAAAACAGAAGACAGCACACAGTTCTTCCACTGCCTGTCTCTGCATTGTGGTGCAAGGGAAAGCATGTCACTGCTTATAAAATGTGGTCTGAGCACGGAACACCACCAGAGCAAATAACAAATGACAATATCAAAAATGAATTAGATAAAGAGATTTTAATTTTGCAGTGCGGAATGCAACCCCAACACCTTTTAGAGCAATTGCTGGAATCATTTCCATTTAAAGCTGGGGTGGGGGGGAGCTACAACACAAACCGACAAACATTGACTGTCAATCCTCAGTTTACTTTCTCAAGACAAAATCCTGCTGCAAGAATAACTTAGCATTTCAAGCATTTCTCTTCCCACCCCCCGTGCAATCCCCCCCCCCTATATTTGACATTACAGCTGCAGTAGAAGTATCAACAAATTTTCTTGATTAATTGAAGCAGTAATTTAGCAAAGATTCAAACACAACATTCAAGCTGGCAACAGGATGTCTTCTGTGTTGGCTAAAATATAGGATACTACTTTATTTTTATTTTTTTCAGTACAAAATTATTTGCATAGTGGCAATCTGTTTTCTCCACTGAACTGAATGTGTCGATAGAGGGAAAATCAGTGTGTGTGTGTACTAGTATAGCATTCAGTCTAGGGCAGATTTTTTTTAAAAAAATAAGCAAACCTCCACATGCTGACCTTTGTGCGTGTGTACTAGTATAGCATTCAGTCTAGGGCAGATTTTTTTTAAAAAAATAAGCAAACCTCCACATGCTGACCTTTGTTAAGACAAGAGCTGTTGTAGATTGGGTCTAAAATAGCAGTTTGGAAATTAGAAGCTCTATTTTTTGGAGGAAGGAATTAATGGACAATGTCAAGAGAGAAGCTGAACACTCGTAACTCGTGCAGAACTGCAATGTGATCAGGGGAGTCTTTCCTGTGTGCCTGTCATTCCTCCGTATGCACTGAAAGAGCGTTTCCATTCCTTTTCTACCATAAGCTTTGCCCTCCTTCAATGACTAAGTTGTGGCCAGTCATATAATCTGAAGCTTCAGATGCCAAGTATACGACGGCAGCTTGCAAGTCTGTCACTCGAGCCAGCCTTCCGGCTGGGATGTCCGTGAGCCAGCACTGCACAAGAGGTTTCAGCTCCTCAGAATGGATGAGCGGTGTTTCGACAATCCCCCTGTATAAACATATAAGACACAAACCGGCTTGTTATGGCTTCTTTCTTTCTTTCTTTCTTTCTTTCTTTCTTTCTTTCTTTGCAGCACAAAATTGCAACAATACAAAAATAGCCCTGGAGGTACTTTTCAAACGAAGGATGAGAAAGATTCCAAACCTCCCTGGCTAAAAGCCACCAGAAACTTCAAACATGATTCCCGTTAAATGTCTTTCTAATATAGTTTTTATGTATCATCATTGTGTCCCTCATTTATTTCCACATTAGCGATACATTATTTAGCATAACGTCCCAATTGAAAGATTTGCCTCACAAACAATCACATCATCTAAATTGAAAGTGACTTGCGAGCATTTACCTACAAATAGATTTTTTGGAACTGGACATAGCAATTATTCTATTCATTAGGAGACACTGCGAAAGGGGGTCTACAATATGTTCAGCGAATGCAGGCGGTTCACATGCTATCATTTCAAGAGGAAGGCATAACCATTATTTCTTTCTTTTCTAATTTTAGAATAAAAGTTCACGTTCACTAGGACTTTTCCCGAGAAGAAAATGTCAGTTAGTAAAAAGCTTGAAGGAACTGGCTCCTAATATCTTCCAGCTTAGACACCTTCTCTGCAATATGACAGAGAATTTATCAGGAAATGTTTACGCGCACACACACACACACACACACACACACACACACACATATATATATATATACCCCCCAAAAATATATATGAATGAGAGCCAAAGAATCCACAGCACTCCATAAACATTTGGTGGGTGTTTAGGGCTTTAACAATAACTGATTTGTCACCCTCCTCCTTAGCAACATATTTGTATTTTGAGAAATGTTATAATTCTCTCCCCCCCAGTCCCTGTATAAATATATTTACATAACTGGGCCTAACAAGAAATTACATTTAACTTCTCAGAAATGACAATAACTAAAACCTGAGCTGCCAATTCCACTTCATTAGTGTGGCAGAAATGCATTCCAAATGTTAATAAAAATTCCAACATGCTGATAAATTAGTGCTTCTAAGGAACATGTGACACCTTGGTTAACATATTCAACCTCAATTATATTTCTCTTCAGCACCCTGTTATCTGGAACCTTTGCTGGCAATCAGAGGTGCTGTTTTTCAGCGGCCAATTTTCTAGATAATGTAGCTTATCAACACTGTGGGTAAACTTGCCAATGAAATCAGACTGCACTGAACCACACACGCGCTAATTGCATCTCTTTTTTATGCATATTTACAGACTGTCACTTCAAAGAAATCAGTGGCCCATTGAGGCAGCCAGTTAGCTGGAAGAATTGCCTCTTGCAAATGAAAATTAGCAAACAAGCTAGTGATAAATATGAAATGAACAAAGTCTCGAAATGCCGTTTTGTTCTCAAACTTCATCCTCATCCCAATTTATGCTTCCAAAGAAACAGGGTTTAGAAACACTGAATTCTGGGAACGAGAAACCTCCGCCTTGTACTTTTGTTTTAAAAGAAACTCTTGCGATATTGTTTAATGGATGTGGTTCAGACTTTGCTCTCTTTCTCATATACATGTTTTAATTTTTTTGCTTAACCGGGGCACTCTTCCACAACCCTACTTTCTTTTCAGTCTGAAACTGACAATAAACAGGATAGCTATTCAGAAATAATACCACACAAGGGCAACATGATTGACCTCTGGCACTATCCTGCATTCCAAAGTAATATTATAATCACAATATTATTTTCCCTAAGTAGTTCCCTATCCCAGTCTTCTCAACCCCTTGACTCTAGCACATGTTTTCTACGAAAACAATTTGATTTTTCAGTTGCAAAAGAATATCAACAGGCTTATCATTTACTGTTACTCAACAACATTTTTCCCCATATATATTAGACACATGCACACACACACAAAATATGAAACAATACTAGGCTTGGATCACACTGATAATAATGAGAATAACAACAATAATAATTATCAAAATGTGCTAGGTGCTCTAGGGGTAGTGACGGATGATCCAAAGAAGGCCAGCCATTTTATTTTATTTTACTTTTAGTAGACATTTGGAGACTGGGGGGGGGGGGGGCGAACACCAATCCCATTTTTTCAAGCATTTCCTGTGAATCTCTGATTACAATTCAGTGCCAGTTTTATTTGCAAATGTTAGCAGGGTGTGGCCTTAGGCTTCATGCTACATCATTTTATTTTCTATTCATTAGAAACTAGATAAACAGTCTGGCTTTGATCATTTAAACCAGATCCAAGATGCATTTCTTTCTATATGGAGATATATTCAAGAACCAATTGTGTAACAAATAGATAGATCGCTCAGTTTGTTTACCTTTTCACCAAACAAAAGGTTTTTTAAAAAATAAAATAAATGAATGGGCTTATTCAAATGAGGAATATCCACACAGAGATATTTGGTCGGGTGTATATGTGTGCAGTGATGCAGTTTGGTAATTTTAGACTCTGGAATCAAGGGGAAGAGCTCCTAGTAATTCTGCTGAGTATGGCCCTGAACGTCTGCCTGAAAGTCCAATGGCACCCTTGCTGGGGAGAAAGGCATTGGGGGGGGGGCGCAGTCATCTCTGACAAGTCTGTCTAACCAGCAGTGTGTATACTGAGGAGAAGGGAGAGCAAGCTTAGCTTCTCCTCACAACAAACAATACTGGGCGGGAGGTTTCTGCAGTAAGATCTTTGCAATTCTCCACTAGGGAACAAAATAGGATGAAGTAGGACTGCTTGAATGAACCTTTCCACCTCTCTCCATTTAACAGGCTGACAGGATCGTCAAACCTGTCCATTATAGTCCTCTAAATTTCTCCTTTTCCAATCTTAAATTCAGTTCTCCACATTTCCACAAGGTTTTGTTTTTTAAAAAAAATTGTCATGAACGTTCATCAGCATTTTAGTGTGAATTATTCCCAATAAACACATTTTTATTGTATGCAGTTTTGACAAACACACACATTTTTGCAAGCAGTTCTTCTTATTATACTGCCTTTTAATACGTTGTTTTCACTGCTACATGCATTTTTAGAATAGAATAGAATATATTTATTGTTTGGTTGTCAAACTGCCTCACAAAATTCAGACAAGCGTGCATTTTGAAGGATAGCTGTGTTTGGTTCACACATTGGTTCAAAATATGTGGATTAACTAATTTCTCAGTAAAATAAACACAAAATTTAATTTCGTCCTTAATAGCAGGACAACAACCAGCTTACTGAAAGGAAGGCCTCGGAAACCCTCCTGAGCTTATAGAAGTCCTGTGGACAGCGCTGCGGCCAATGCCTCCAGGCAAATAAAACCCAGCAAAACTGAAATTTCTGAAGTTAATTATGATATTCATAAATTATAGAGCACGGTACCACATAGTAGAACTTAGGCTTTTCGTTTAATTATGCTGGCGGTGGGAGGAAATTGAACGTTTTATTCTAAAGACAGCATAATTTAGGACTGTTCTGGTTTGGAAAAATAAGCAAACGAGAAAAATAATAACAACAACAACATAGTGGCTTGTAAGCACGCTTTTGGGTTCTTATACAAATATTAGATATGCCCCAGTATACTGCACATCTTCTGGGAGAGGCTCCGTGCCAAGATGGGCAATTTAATGCTGGAGATGGAAAAACCCTTTTAGGCAAATGTGCCTTGGCTCTTAACCATTCTGAGCAGTGACAAGTGCCAAGGTGTTAATTCTCTGCCTCATCTGGAATGCAATGCTGTTGCATAACAATGGCTTATCACACTATCTAGGTTCCCTTCACGGGAGATGCAGAACTGACATTTCGCTGCTGAAGGCAGCAGTGTGGGCTGATTTAAGACTCAAGTAGCCCCCAAACGATCCCACACTTTATGCCAGTGGATATGTTGGTCTTTGAGTGCCCTGTTTATCAGCTGCTCCCTTAGAATGGTCGCAAGAGTTCTTCTCCCAAAGTGTGTGCATTTGTGTGTTTTGGAGAAAGGGGTTTCCATCTGTGTATAAGTTGATTTCTTTCAGATGAGTTATTAATTTGGATGATTTAAGTACACTTCAATTACTCAGGAAGTGTTTAATCAGTAAAACCCACTTAATTGGGACATCTCCCAAGAAACTGCATAAAAGCCCAGAGATATTTAAGAGCAACTGCTGTTGCTTAATGGGGATGGTAATGCTGGTTAATTGGGATGCCTTTAAGTGATGTGATACGGCTTTGCTTGGTTCTTCCCTCTGCTGTCCTTTTATGCCAGTTCCATATACAGCGGAACCTTGGTTCCCAAACTTAATCCATTCCGGGAGTCTGTTCGATTCCTGAAACAGTTCAGGAACCATGGCGCAGCTTCTGATGGGCTGCAGCAGCTTTTTGCAGCCAATCAGAAGCCAGGCGTTCGGCTTCCAAAGAACATTCAAAAACCGGAACAATTACTTCTGGTTTTCGTTTGTTTAGAAGCTGAGGTTCCACTGTACGCACAAAAACTCATTGCCCCACCCCCAAATCAGTGTCAAGATGCTTCATCCAAACCTGAAAACTTTAGCATTCCAGATCTCTGGATCTTGTTGATCCAGATTGGAGAGCAGTGTTTGGATTGCTAGAATAATCGCTCGCAATCCAGCTGTTCTCAATTGGCCTTGTCATTCACATGTTATCACAAGAACTGAAGGTGCGCTTCCAAAGGAAGCTTCAGCTGTATTTATGTATGTACCTAACCAAAGCAGCAAGGGATCTTTATGCATGGAAGTGGAAGGAGGAAAGAATATCCTCAAAGGAAGAATGGCTGATAAAAATCATGGAATATGCAGAGATGGCAAAACTGACGGCTCTGATAAGAGACACATTTAGAATCTTTCAAGGAGGACCATAAACTTTTTCTATATTTAAAAAATAATTTTCCATATGTGAAGTCCACAGCAGGGTTTAAAGTTTAAGGGGGGGGAATAGAATATACTAAGATACCTGTTAAAGAGGATGAAACTGGATAGGATGGATTTTTAAGACGCAATAGTATATATTTGTGATTATAAACATCGAGGATGGGTGAGTATTTGGAAATAAACTTTATAATTGCTGAGTGATAAAATGTAAGTTTGAATCTTGAAAGAAAAAGGAAGTGTAAAAAAAAGAGAGCTGTAGGTGCACTGAACATTATGGTGTGATTGAATTCCATTTGGACATGATCATGGACTAACTGCTGTGAGAAAAAAGCAGCAGACGTTACCAACGATGGAGACCACAGTCAGTGGTTCACAAGAGCACAGAAGCTGATTTGATCACAGAACCATAGTGAGAAAATGCGGTTGGTTTCCTGGAAGTCTGATTGAGTGGGCAGCCTCCATAACATGCATTCCTTCTACAAAGTTATTCATGCCCACAAACCAATCTCCTTCCAACTCCCAAACCCAGATTTCTCTCAGACCAGGAATGGGAGACCTGTATCCCTCCAGATGTTGTTGGACTTCCACGGCCATCGTACCTGACCACTTGCCATGCTGATGGGAGCTGGAGTCCAAACCAACATCTGGAGAGCCCCTGGCTCAAATTTTGTGGGTTTTGAAGCTAACTGCCTAGCCCAAACAAAAATCGCACAATATCCTCTTTACACCACATTCACCCATCCTTCTGGGGATCCTAGGAAACCCAAATTCAAAGTCTTGGTGTTGACCTTTAAAGTCCTAAATGGCTTTGGCCCTGTATAACTGAAGGAATGTCTCCACCCTCATTTTTAAGCCCAGACACCAAGGTCCAGCTCCAAGGGCCTTTAGGCGGTACTCTCATTGCAAGAAGTGAGGTTACAGGGAACCAGGCAAAGGGCCTTCTCAGTAGCGGCGCCCTCCCTGTGGAATGCCTTCCCATCCAATGTCAAACTGATCAGCAACTACACAACTGACCCATCTGAAGCATCCCTGTATCAGGAAGTTTTTAATGTTTTGATGTGCTTTTGATTATGTTGGAAGCTGCCCAGAGTGGCTGGGGCAACCCAGTCAGATGGGTGGGGTATAAGTGATTAATCCTCCTCCTCATCACCCTGGTCATTTAGTTTGGGAGGCCCTATTGTTGTAAAAGTAACCCCATGCTTTCCTCTTTATCAGCCTGTCCAATCTCCCCCCATCCCTGCACTATATCTACCACTAATTGTGTGCCGTATATTAGGACATTTCTGTTGTTTTATGCATAACTGGAAACAAAACATAAATGCACAAGCAGATATGCATTAGTTAAGATATATGCATTAGCACTTTCATACTGCAATAATTCTGGCAATTAGATATTACTAAAGGAAGCCTTAGGCACCGACACAGCTATAAATATGGATTCTCTTGTAAAATATAGTTCAGGAACGCATTTCCTTATGGAGCTGGAGCCTGTATACCGGTACTTCTTGCTAAAACCCTGTAGAGCTTTAAAAAAATGTAACACATAGGAAACAGTGCATGCAGGGCTCATGTATTCACTTAGATAATACAAAACTATAATAATAATTTATAATAATAATTTGTTATTTATACCCCACCCATCTGGTTGAGTTTCCCCAGCCACTCTGGGTGGCTTCCAATCAAGTGTTAAAAACAATACAGCATTAAATATTAAAAACTTCTCTAAACGGGGCTGCCTTCAGATGTCTTTTAAAGAGAAGATAGCTGCCTATTTCCTTCACATCTGAAGGGAGAGCGTTCCACAGGGCGGGCGCCACTACCGAGAAGGCCCTCTGTGAAACATGTGTCAAAGCTTCTGCAATTATAGGTATTACAGCCAAGGTAAAAGAGCTAATCACTTCAAAGTGCTTGTTGTTGTTGTTTAGTCATTTAGTCATGTCCGACTCTTCGTGACCCCATGGACCAGAGCACACCAGGCACTCCTGTCTTCCACTGCCTCCCGCAGTTTGGTCAAACTCATGTTAGTAGCTTCAAGAACACTGTCCAACCATCTCGTCCTCTGTCGTCCCCTTCTCCTTGTGCCCTCAGTATTTCCCAATATCAGGGTCTTTTCAAGGGAGTCTTCTCTTCTCACGAGGTAGCCAAAGTATTGGAGCCTCATGATCTGTCCTTCCAGTGAGCACTCAGGGCTGCTTTCCTTAAGAATGGATCAGTTTGATCTTCCTGCAGTCCAGGGGACTCTCAAGAGTCTCCTCCTGCACCATAATTCAAAAGCATCAATTCTTCGGTGATCAGCCTTCTTTATGTTCCAGCTCTCACTTCCATACATCACTAGTGGGAAAACCATAGCTTTAACAATACGGACCTTTGTCGGCAAGGTGATGTCTCTGCTGCCTAGGTTTGTCATTGCTTTTCTCCCAAGGAGCAGGCGTCTTTTAATTTCGTGGCTGCTGTCACCATCTGCAGTGATCATGGAGCCCAAGAAAGTAAAATCTCTCACTGCCTCCATTTCTTCCCCTTCTAATTGCCAGGAGCTGATGGGACCAGTGGCCATGATCTTAGTTTTTTTGATGTTGAGCTTCAGACCATATTTTGCGCTCTCCTCTTTCACCCTCATTAAGAGGTTCTTTAATTCCTCCTCACTTTCTGCCATCAAAGTTGTGTCATCTGCATATCTGAGGGTGCTTATTGCCTGGTAAATAATGGAGGCCCATCAAAACAGGAACACAACAATCTTTTTTTAAAAAAAATACAGGTAGGCATGTTGGCCCATATGTAAAATTCCAAAACTCATCTTAGGGTGACACCTTTATTAGAACAGATGGCAACAACTGTGCAAGCTTTTGAGTTCAACAGGTCTCTTAATCAGGCTAGATGGCAAACAGAGCACTTGGGGTGGTGATGGTGGGGAAACAGCAGGAGATCGCAGATGTTCCATGAGGTTTTTTTGGACCTTTGTGCTTATCAGGTTACACCTAGGCCCTGCTGGCATAAGGGGTTCACCTGGTGGGGCAGAGCTGCAATACTAGCTTTCTCACAGAGGAATCGCTGTGGCTTACTGGGAGGGAATGATGATGCTTGGGGTGTATGGGTGCACTGGTGCAAATGTAGTTCAGCTCCTCCAGTGTGCTTTTACAGCCCTGGCCTCCATAATGCCTTGCCCCCTCTTCTGATGAGCGTCAGAGACTCCACTGATGAAAAATCAGGTATCCCTGTCACCTAGGTCCGCCTCCATCCTGAGGTGGAACATGCAGGTTCCTAGATAGGTGGAAAACATGACTCAAGAAAAACTGGATGGTCTTTATATCAGCAAAAGTGGACATTAATTTTAATTGGTGTGCTAAGCCAAAAAGAAATTGTCAGAAGCCAAACTGGATGGCTTCACTGAGCTTTTGTAGAGAAGGTTCCCTCAGAAGTCCTATCTGTAAAACCCTCCTTCTCTAGTTTAGGATTCTGCTGTTGAACACCTCACTTCAGTTGTTTTTTCCAAGTCACATAAAGGTGGCCATGTTGATCTGTAGGAAAATTCCCGAATTTTGCATATGTTTGGTCCTGGTTGATATTCATTCTGTCTCCTAGTATCCGGATAATATTAGCACAGAGATGGAAAGAAGACACAGTGCCTACCAGAGAAGAATGGCAGATTAAGCTGATGGGACTATGCAGAAATGGCCAAACTGACCGGAAGAATTAGGAATCAGGAAGACCAACATTTTAAGAAGGAATGGGGAAAATATATAATTTACCTTTAAAATCGCTGCAAACTATTAAAATTATTAGTAGGATTGGAATGTCGCTTGTAATTAAATGTTAGACTATGGGTGTAATTGAGATTTAATACAATTGGATTAACAGAAAAGATGCAGGAGAAAAAATTAACATAAGGACCCACAAAGGGGAGGGGGGAAGTCTATGGCAATTTATGGGGGGGGGGATATTTATTTGCTTGATGGTTGTTTGTAAATTTGAAATATATTCATAGAGACCAAGCGGGGTTCTACCAGGTAGACAAATGTGGTGGGAATGCAAATGCATTTAAAAATATTGGGAAATGATATACTATGAATTGAAAAAAATGTTTAAAATGAATTTTGTCAAACACCCTGAAGCCTTTTTGTTAGGTATCTCAAATCAAGAGCTACCAAAAGAAAAATGGACATTATTTATGTATCCTACAACAGCGGCAAGAATCTTGATTGCACAATATTGGAAGATGGAAGAAATACCATCAAAGGAACAATGGCAAGAAAAGCAGATGAACTATGCAGAATTGGCTAAGCTAACAGACAAACTACGAGAGGACAAAAAGGACTTCAAAAGAGTCTGGGAACCATTTACAGTTTATTTGCCGAAACAACAGAATGGACTGGATTCACTGGCAGGATTTGAATAAACTTTCACAACTTTCTTTGAGTAACAGATATTTTAGAGAAATGATAAGGGATTTTATTTTTGTGTAGGAAAAGCAGGATACGATAAATAAAACTAAATAACTCAGCAGAGGGGGAGTTGAGGGAAGTCCAGAGGAGGGGAGGGAGAATAATTGTAAATAACATGATGAATGAGATTTGTATCATTAATTGTTATAAAATTCAATAAATATTCTGGAAAAAAATGAAAATAATTTTTTTAAAAAAAATATATATTATTTCTGTCTCAGTGCTGTATTTTGAAGTAAGGGGTTGTTCTGTAGCTCCTTGTGCTATTATTTGTATTCATATTGGCTACATTGTTTGATCACATAGTTTATTATGTTTCTGATACACTGTATTAGATGCTGTGAAGGCCTCTGAGTGGGGAAAGTGGCCCAAAACTATGCAGGCAAATCAATAAAAAATAAACAGGCCTTGTTTTGAAGTAGTACCAGGCAGAGGGCCTTCTCGGTAGTGGCGCCCGCCCTGTGTAACACCCTCCCATCAGGAAGGAAATAGACAACTATCTGACTTTTAGAAGACATCTGAAGGCAGCCCTGTTTAGGGAAGTTTTTAATGTTTGAAGTTTTATTCTGTTTTTAGTCCTCTGTTGGGAGTCGCCCAGAGTGGCTGGAAAAACCCAGCAAGATGGGCAGGGTATTATTAATAATAATAATAATAATAATAATAATAATAATAATAGCTGACACTTACTCTGAAGACCCACTTCCCTTTAAAATTTCACAGCCAAGAGCCCACTTCCGTTTAAAGAGAAGTACATCTTTCCTCACTGAATGGGATGAAAAGTTTAGGTTGCATATTTTCATCTTGTTGTGTCTGATGGGACTGTGTCTGTGGGGCCTTAATGGTGCTAGTCTATACATTTGCTTATTCCATTTTTTTTTATTAACATAATTGTAACATATTCTTCTAGGGGACGCAGGTGGCGCTGTGGGTTAAACCACAGAGCCTAGGACTTGCTGATCAGAAGGTCGGCGGTTCAAATCCCCGCGACGGGATGAGCTCCCGTCGCTCGGTCCCTGCTCCTGCCAACCTAGCAGTTCGAAAGCACGTCCAAGTGCAAGTAGATAAATAGGTACCGCTCCGGCGGGAAGGTAAACGGCATTTCCGTGTGCTGCTCTGGTTCACCAGAAGTGGCTTAGTCATGCTGGCCACATGACCTGGAAGCTGTACGCCGGCTCCCTCGGCCAATAAAGCGAGATGAGCGCCACAACCCCAGAGTCGGTCACGACTGGACCTAATGGTCGAGGTCCCTTTACCTTTAACATATTCTTATTATTACTGCTTTTTGCCCAAATTCAGTAGCAATGGTTGTTATTCATCAGAATCAACTAGCATCTATTTTTACTTCTACATGTTCTAGATTCAAGGCAATACCAGTGTTGTGTAAGTCTAAGTAGCCATGATTTGTCTAAACGTCACTTCAGGGGCAGTGAGGGACTTGCAAGATAATATTAATACCTCTCAATATCCATGAATGAAGCTTTACTGAATGGTTATTTCAACTACTGTGCTGGGGTCTGAGACGAGCCTTCTGCAATGTGTGTGTCTGCGTAAGAAAGTAAGGTGGTTGCCAATTTGAAGTTGACGAAGCAAAAAGATGTGTGTGGCCAGGAGCATTGCTTGGGTGCAGTTGCTCTCTTTGGAGCCCAGGGAGTCCATTAGAAAGTTAGTGTGCAGTGTAATGATCGGTGCCTTGGCCTTAGACTAGAAGAGACCCAAGTTCAAATCCCCACTCAGCTGCAGAGCTGGCTGGATAACTTTCAGCCAGTCCTGTGGACTCAGCTACATTACTCATGGTACAACGCTATAACCGCGTTATAAACATGCAACACCAGATGGCACTGTAGAGCCCAAAACTTTGCCTATGCGATTTTCCATAGAATCCCCCCCCCACCTTTCATTATAACCTTTTTTCCTGGGAGGACGCAGGGGTATGCATACCTCTAAACATTTTTGTGAATCTTTGTACTTTTGTCCATTTACTGTATTTATTTTCCCCGATTCGAACTATAAAATGGTGGTTTTCTTGAGTCAAAATGAAAGTACCCCTAAACAGTTTTTTTTAGAAAAAATGCACTGGTTATAACCATAATAATAAATAATAAATTATAAATTTATTATTATTATTATTATTATTATTATTATTATTATTTAATTTCTGAATTAATTATAGCAGGGTTCCCCCCCGCCCCCCGTGTGTAGATCCAGCCACAGTCTCTCAGCCTAATATAGCTGACGGGGATGTTGGGAGAATAAAAGGCGGACAGTGGATGCTGCCCTGGGGGGTCAGTCCAAGGCTTTTTTCCTGCCTCAGACAAAGGAGAAGATGGTGCCCCTCCCACTCCAAATTCACATTTGAATTTTACTTTACACTGATGACAAGACAATGTCCTCCAGCATGCTGGAGGGCTACAGGGCGAGCTTAGGGCGAGCCCAGGGCACATAGAGTGGCACACACAGCTCAGGTACCCAGTGTGGAAGAGAAATGTGTGTGCGCGCACACACACACACATGTATACACACACACATGCACACGAGTCTTGTATTTTTCCTTTTCAGAAATTCCCACCTTTAAGCCTTCAAAAATTAGGTAAAATGCAATTGATAATGAATATATTTCATAAAAAACAAAAATTATACCGAGGTGACTTGTAATTGCTACCACCGAATGGAATTTCAATGATAGTAGTATAATGACGTCCCTTTTAAAGTGCCTGTATATTTGTCTGAGGTAAAAAGAAGCGTGAGGGGGAGGGGGAGACTGGAAGGGGGGGGGGGAATATTGTCTGTTAAGTGTCAAATGCCTTTTCTTTTACCACAGAAGACTTGGACAGTAGCAAGGAAATATTTCACCTGGAAAAGAAATGTTAAAAACCACCCTTCACAAAATTAGAAAACCTGTTATCAAATGGCATAATCTTTTCAAAAATCCCAGAACATACACAGCAATAGAGACGACTTTTTGCTATGCACTTGGCATTTGTGTTATGCTTGAGAGTATTCTCACCCTTATTTAAGGAACTGAAGTTTTGCTAGCTAACAACTTTGCTTTCTTACATTTTCTTAACTTGAGAACTTCATCACATTCATCCTTATTTCCTTATTTCCTCGCTCCCCCCGCCCAAACCCTACATGTTACTTACGGAGAAATGCAGTTCACTCTTACTCCTCTATCAATCCACTCCGTCCCCAACGTCTGAGTTAACTTTACAACCCCGGCTTTCGAAGCATTGTAAGCTAATTGCTTCTGTGGGTGAGGAACTGGATGGTTGGGAAGGGAGAAACAGAAATTTAATTATTACTTCCCGGCAGAGAAAGAGTAAATAAAAACTGAAACAGTTATTTGTAGAGGTTTGGCAAACAGGCAGGCATACCTTTCCATTGTATTATCCTGACTTTTGGATCAACAGAAGGAAAATGGAACAACTGCAAACAGACCCCCGGAAGTATCTACATTTTAGCAATGTAGCAAACCTATATGCTATTTAAAAGAAACTGCCACTGCGTTCAGTAAGACTTATTATTCCCATGTAAGTGTGTGTATCATATGCCAGCCTAAAACTTATTATACCTGCAGATGCTTATTAAAATTAAAACTCAATGTATAAAAAGGCAAACAAGCACAAAGTTATAGAGCATGGGTAGGCAAACTAAAGCCCGGGGTCTGGATCTGGCCCCATTGCCTTCTCAATCTGGCCCGCGGACGGTCCAGGAGTCAGCGTGTTTTACATCAGTAGAATCTGCCCTTTTATTTAAAATGCATCTCTGGGATATTTGTGGGGCCTGCCTGGTGTTTTTACATCAGTAGAATGTGCCCTTTTATTTAAAATGCATCTCCGGGTTATTTTGGGGGCATAGGAATTCGTTCATATTTTTTCTCTCAAAATATAGTCCAGCCCCCGACAAGGTCTGAGGGACAGTGGACTGGCCCCCTGCTGAAAAGGTTTGCTGACCCCTGCTATAGAAGATCAGACATTTATGCAGATATTGGTACACTTCTGTCCCGGAAATGCCAATCTCTCAAAGCAACTTGACTGGTTGGATGCTTTGGATGGGGGGGGGAGGGGGCGAATCCACACATGTCACATGTCAGTCAGAAACTAAAATGATCGGCTTTGTTAATTATAACGTTCACGCTTACAAGCGACTTTGGTATATTCTCCTCCTCCTTGCCCCTTTCCTTAAGCTGATATACCTGCAAAAAAGACAGCTTATTTTTAGCAACCAAACCATTTTCGTGACATTTTAAAACAGAGTTTAGGCCCCACCAGGCAGTATCTATGAAAAGTGCCTATGAATTGATTTTAGAAGGAATTGATTTTAGAATGTATTTCAATTAATTGATTGAGATTTTATGTAAACTGTGTTACTTTTATTGTTGTTAGCCACTTTGAGCCCGGCTTCGGCTGGGGAGGGCGAGATATAAATAAAATTTTATTCTTATTATTAAAAAAATTTTAAAAAAAAACTGAGAGGGAAATAGGACCATATTATTGGTCAGTTTCATAATTAACATGAATTTGTTGACAAGGATGTATTTTAGACCCATTTTTTGTAATGCACATACAGAACTTTTCAAAGTTCAGACCGTCATCCCACCCAGAAATACCCTTTTTAGTAATCTATTCTTCATCTGGGCTATTTTTATTCCCTTCCCCTCAATTTTATTCTGGCATTCATTCATTTGCTTCAGTATTTCCATGCTGACTTTTAGGGCCAAGCCCTTGCAAGGCAACTTAAATAAAACTGTCAAAAATCATTAAGAACAGTGGCTTAAAACAGCAGTGTTTTGGATAATACACAGGTGAGCAACATATCATTGCAACTCAGCTAAAACAATTAAATCAGTTTCAGAATGGCAACAAGTATAAGACATATTTTTGTTTAATTGTTATTTCGATAATTATTGGGGTGGGTGCAATTCTGCCACAGGTCACAAGTATGTGGAGTTTAACCATGATCTCCAATAGTGCTCAACCAGATCCCTATATCACTACATTCCCCAGAAGCTCCATATCAGGCCACGAAACACTCTGCAAATTTTCTTTATTCGGTTTTTCTTTTTTTAATTACAGTAATAATAATATGCTTAAATGGTTGGAAGTGTGGTAAGATTTAGGATTTTTTATTTCTAGAAAGAATAAGAAAATACAAATAAAAGGAAAACAAAAAAAGCCCCACAAATCAATAGTTAAATTATTACTGCATGTCAGAGCGGTTTTCATTTAATTGGGAGCAGTCCTATAACAAAGTCAGGAGAATTTGACCAAATAAACTAACTTAGCAAAACAACATTTTAAAAGGCTGTAGCAGATTTATCCTTCCAATTCATGTATTTTGCTTGCCTGCCTGCTTTCTCGCCGGTTTCTTAAAATCAACACGGTGGAAAAGAACGTTTTTGTTGAATTGTACAAAAGCATGTAAAAACATACCACATCTTGAAATCACTTAAATAGACATAAGACTGTAATCCTAGCCAGCCGTTGCCTCCCTTTTTCCACTGCATAATAAAACTTGATTAATAACGATTTTTTAAAAAGAATCCCTTTGCTTTACAACAGAGAAATCATTTTTACAGGCCCAACATATTTATTCAATAAGCTTTCATTACAAATATTTTCCCTCTTTTTGCTGTTGTTTGGTCTGGCATAGCGGCAAGCAGCACTCCATGTGGGCTGGAGAAGAGGAGAGGAATCTAATTTCTTGATTAATTACTCTACTCAAGATCCAAGTTACATACAACTTTGGTAGTTAACCCCATCGCCCTTGCAAAAGTAGCACCTGCTAAAGTTTCCAAATATGCCTGTTTATGATAAATTACTGCATGTTTGCTTAAAGGGGCCAAACACTTTTGCATCTTTCCCATCTGAGAGTCTTTGTTTCCAGAAAAGCAGAAACTTATTTATTTATTCAGCCAGTTCTCTGACCTCTAATTCTGAACAGACCTATCAGGTGGCTTCCTGCAGTGCTTATCATACATTTTATAGGAGAAACTTTTGAGACTTCGTCCTACTTCATCCCACCCTTGAAAGCATAAAAGTTTGTTATAGAGATGGACAAATTTGTTGATTTCCGTTTCTCCCAGTTTCTCATGTTTTCAGTCTTAAGTTCTGTTCTCTTTTCCACATTTCTGCATCACTTTGCTTATTTATTTATTTTTAAATCCTCATTCAATAGCATTCTATGAATATACACATTTCTGTAGGTAATTTTGCCTGACATTTGTACAAGCAATCTCCCCTAATACAATGCATTATATATGTTCTTTTCAGTAACATATACATTTTTTGCACATATTACTTGTCTGGAAAACCGAGTCACAAAATTCAGAGACGTGCAAATTTCGAAGGACGGTTTTGTTTCCGTTCGTGTAGCGTTTTAGAAATTGCAAATTTGGGAGGTTTGCTCTTACACCGCATCAATTATTATCAGTGATACAGTCGGGGGGGGGGGAGCTATGAAAGGAAATCTCTCCTTGTTGAGTGAGATTGTGTGTATGCTTCAAGCTGCACAGCTTGCAGAACGAAACTGCAAATTGGGAAGAAGGACTGTGCAGAAGGTCCCAAATCCTATCTCCAGTCGAAAGGATCAGATAGCAGGTAAAGCAAAAGAATTCTGCCTGGGGTCCTGGAGAACTACAACTTGTCAGAGTGGTCAGTACTGTTATAGACAGCCAGCTAATATGATCCCATCTAAGGCAGCCTACTTTTTGGGAAACAGCCATGCTTAAGTCATTCTCACAATTTCTGATGCTTGTGCTGGGAGTGCCATTTATATAGACCAAATGGCATCATGAACATAAAAGAAGGAGGTACCAGCAGACTTGGAGGAATCTTGAGGTTTAGGGGGAGGAAAAGTACTCATGGTGGGAACACCCTAAAACATCCTAATGAGGATTGAATTTAGGGGTGAGACTTTCCAAAAATCTCAATGTTATGACTGTCTGCATGGATTCTTTTCTTAATTCTCATCTCATAGCTTGATCTCAATTACAAGGGAATTATTCCTCCCTGGGTCCTTTAAAAATACAAACATATTATATGCATTATTATGTGTATCATTATAAATATAATATTACACACATTTTTCATACATATCCCACCCCGGTTTTCCTAAAGTAACCAGCACATAAGTAAATATATACAAGAATGCCTATAAAATACTTAAGGATTAATTCCTTAACGCTGCAGAAATATAATACCACATGTGGTTTGACTATTTCATACTTTTTATACTCTCTGCAGGTACCCGTATTAAAATGTCTTAGATGCCTTCTAGAAAACTTTTTTATTTGAAGAAGCCTACCCAAATACATAATTTAGACTTGTATATTAACGTATGCTATTTTGCCTATGTGTTACTGCTAATGGCTTTATGCATTTAGAGGGGGTTTTTTTGTTTCAATTAAGCGTCTTACAAATCTTTCCTAATAAACAAATAAATAGGAGATGTATTTTGCAAATAATTCCCCATATAATGTGCCAGAGTGGCAACCCAGTCAGATGGGTAGAGTAAAAACAATAACATAAGAATATTTAAATAGACTTCAAAAACAAAGAAACCGACAGTTTGCAGGTGGCTCAGACATAAGCAGGCACTCTGTGTAAGAGGCAGTCCAATGTGGGCAAAGCTCACCAAATCCCATATGTAAGGGCATAAAGCAAGCCAGTGTAAGTTAAGCCAGTGTAAAGATACACCAGCTATACCAAACAGAGCGGCTGCTGCTCTGCCTGAGCCTGGCAGAAGGAAAATAAGCCTTTTTAAAGCAGTGTTTGATGCTGGTCATATGACCAAGGAGAAAGTATCCCCATGGTCCACAAACAGCCCCTTTTAGGGACTTAACACCAGGCTCAACTAAGCCAGATTTGGCTTACCTGGGATGAGCCCGTGATGCTGTCATATCATTGGCTGAGCTGGGGTTGGGGACCGAGCCGGTTTCAGGTGCGATCTTGCTGGTTTGGGGCGAGATCTCTCCCCAAATCACACAGGACCTCGTGCACTCTGCAAGCTCCCCTGCAATGATGACGAGATCTTGCCCGAAATCAGCACCAATGTCGGTGTCGCTTCTCTGCCTCATCCTAAGGCCTACCGACAGTGTTGCCTCCTCAAGGGTTTCCGCTGCTTGAGGCATTGGCCTCACTATTCCTAATGGGTGGGCCGGCCCTGGACTTCAAACTGGCTGAGCCAGGGAACAGAAAACAAAGGGGATGAAAGGGAGAGGATGGAATCCTGACCTCTGCACTCCACACAGCAACACTTGTGGCATACTACATGCATTTCTGAGTAGTATTTTGATATCTGAGAACCCACTCTTGCAGAGATATGACATTAAGAAGATAAGAAAAGCCTTGTTGGATTAGGCCAAAGGCCCATCAAGTTCAGCATCTAGATCCCTATAGGATGCTCCCAAGCACTGGCGGAGGAAGAGGAGTGCGGGGGGAGTGCACTGCCCCCGGCAGCGCGATCCCGGTGGGGTGCCATCGCAGCTGATCCCCACCTGCGCTGGGCGCCACGCCCTCGCAGGCAGTGTGCCACACCCCCAGGACGCGCATCACACCCCTGCGGATGGTGCATCACACCCCCAAGATGTGCACTGCGCCTCTGGGACGCGCGCCAGCCCGGCCCCCGCCTGCTCTCCGCCCCCCGGTGCCGGAGCATGAAGCTCCACCACTGCCCCCAAGCAAGACCCAAAGGCTTGAATTTATTGCAAACTTAAATTTTTAAAGTGCCGTTTGTTTTCCAGCTGAACAGTGAGCTCGTTTCCAGTGCTGCAAATTTAGGCAGAAACGTACTTTTAAATTAAACATTTCAGAGCAGAGTCGAAAAGAGATCAATGAATCACAGTGCCGAAAGTGCCCTTCTCGAGCTTTTAATATTATAACAGGATCTCTAATCCAGTCCTATTATGACAACAATGATATCGGGAAATTGTTTCTGGAAATGATTTTTCAGCAGCAGTGGATTACTCTGAACCTGTCGGTTCAGCTCAGAGGAGTGCCGCTTTGCCGCTTTCGTGAAAAATAATGGTGTTTGAAAACATCTCTATATTACCCTAATCTGTTTCGCCTTCCCAGAATTCCTGATAGCTGTCTTGAAATAGCTGAAGGGGAGCTAGTATAGAAGATGGAGTGCGCTTGCTCTCACTTGCTCCAAAGGAGCAATGGGTGGAGGAGGCAGTGATGGCCAGCACTAAAAAAGGATTGGACAAATTCATGAAGGATGAGACTATCAGTGACTATTAACTATGATGGCAAGGCTCTACCTCCAGAGCTTGAGGCAGCCTGCTTCTGAATACCAATTTATGGGAAGAGTGTTCTTGTGCTTGGGCCCTGCTTTTGGGTTTCCCACAGGCATCTGGGTGGGCACTGGGAGAACAGGAGGCTGAATTAGAAGGGCCGCTGGCCTGATCCTGCAGGCTCTTCCTATGTTTGTGGGTTCTCCCAAAAGTAAGAGTGGGAACACAGTGCCTTGGGAGATGATGGGCTCTCCTTCACTGAGAGCACTTAAGCAGAAGCTGGATGACCATCTAATTGTGATTTATCCTGCATTGCTGATCCTGCAGGATGTTGGAACCAATGACAGTACAAGATCCCTTTCAACTCTAAAATCATTACTATTCTTTCCCCCCCAGCTCCAGTTCTTCAAATTTTGGCATTATAATATTCATAGTTGACAGACTTTGCCACAGTTGGAGGTACTGTTATGAGCCTCAGTTCTCTTTAGGTCAATGGATCTCAACGCATCATGAAGCGTTTCTAGGCTGCTCTCTTAAAAAAAGCGAGAAGCTATTTATGCTGGCCTGACACGGAATGTTTAAACATTGTGAATGTCTAAACGTGATTCTTTTTCACGGAATGGAGTCTAAAATGTTTGTGAGATCTTCTACTTTACAGATGCCTTTGACTTGACTAGCAAGTCCTTAGTGACTCTCTCCCTTATGGCTTTGGAAATCCACACTTTTCACCTAGAGGGAGAGAGAGAGAAAGCTAAGCCTTTAAAGAAGGCTCTGGCTAAAAACTGAAGTATACTGGGTGCCACTGCTTCCTTGAGGAATCTGATGTAGAACCAGTGTTCGTACTGCTTGTGTTTGCTTCCAATAGGCTTTGCTCATATATTTGTAAATAAACATATTACATGATCTCTCACGCCTTTATAATCCAAATGTAATGCTTTTGTAGTCCTGCCACCAACGGAATTTCAGACCAGGATATCCTAAAGAATAACACTCTTATGCTGCCCATTCATTATGCATTCTTTTCTAGATGCATTGACTTTCCCATCTCTAGCAATTAGCTCCCAAAGACTGTTTCTTTTCCTTCTCTCCCTTTTCCAAACTTCCCCTAAGCTATTCGGTAATCTAGTTAGTAGCCAACACAGTGCCCTATAGATGATGTTGGGGACTAGAGCTCCCCTCAGAGTCAGCTGAGAATTCTTCTTTGGGTCAGGTTAAAATCTACGCAGGTGAACAATTCAGGGGTCATAATGCTCAACTTATATATCAAGTGATCACTGGGGGGGAAACAAGTCCAGTGGCATCATTATGTTTGAGACGGATCCAGTGAGTTGCTGCCAATTAGGGAAAGACTGTACTGGTCTACATGGATCAATGGTCTGACTCAGAACCATCATTGTGCCCAATCTGACATTCTGTGAATGACATTTAATTAATTAATGGTCCTCTGTGAGCAGCCTTTAACATGGCTAGCCCAAAATCCAAAAGGGCAATCCACATACAGACTCTGTAACCTGAGAAATGAATGAGCCTTTGAGGAGAATGAGGAATATCAACGCTGGAGTAATGCGGTCAGCATCATGATTATGTCTGGCCTCTCTAGTCTAAATCACCAGGCCTACTGTTCGTCAGTCATTTGATAAGGAAAGCTCATCCTCGATTATTTTCCTCCTTACTTAGGGAACACTTACTACCAGTCCAATGGTGTCTAAATTGCCAAGGTGTTAAATGGCCATTTTGTAATCTATATTCACAGTGCATTTTCAGCCATTGGCCTTTCAGCCTAACTGCAAGCCACATGCATCATGCATCACAGGCCATTGAGCATTGCTGCTGTGCAATCTTCATTCCTGCAGACACTGGTGCAGGGAAGAGACTCTGCTAGACCATCAAGGGGTCATGTTTTATACCTGCCCTGCCCCTACCCTCTTTCTGAGACGCTTACAAGGAGGACCTGCTCCCTAAGGATTTACTCCTGCTGTCTCTGACATTTTTGTGGGGACTGTCCTTTGCCAGGACCATGGATTTATTTGGACTTTAGTCTTTTTTATAAAAAAAATACATAAAAAAGGTTTGTATTTTGTTGTCTTAAAATTTTGAAGAGTACATTTTCCCTCGTTGAATTTTATTCTCGTGTGTGAACCTTTGTGAGCTGCCTTGGGAACCTTTTTGGCTGAAAGGTGGCATGGAAACCAGCTTTAACTATCACAATCCCATTAATTCAAACAGGACTTCTACAAAAGCCATATTCAAATCTGGTGCACTGTAGATCTCAGCCTTCGCTTTCCATCCCATGTTCTGGGTCAGGTATTGGAAAGACCACCGTTTATTGTACATTACCACTGAACAATAAACAATACAGGGAATGCATTTATTTATTCTTTTACTTTAATCCCTACAGGACTTGCTATTGTCCTAAACTGAGACCAGTATTTTCCTCCCCTTATTTTAAAAAAATAACATTTTTTTTGTTTGCAAAAAATGCCTTCCACTTGGGCAAGAGCGACATCTCTGGTATTAAAAACCGTAAGTGAAACAGCTGGTAAAAGCACTTGAAAAAAAAATTAACAGCAACATTATAAATGCATTTCTTTTCCTGAAGAAACAGTTAAAGTTACTAAGTAATAAACTGAACAGAATGTCATAGAATGTCAAACTGGGCACAGTAAAAATAAATGTTATTCCCAAGGAAAATAAAAAGACTGCATATTTATGTAACATTCAGCAGATGGACATGATATTAATATCGAGCTTTTCAGTTGCACTTCTATAGCTACTGGGCTTCTCTCTCTCTCTCTCTCTCTTTCTTTCTTTCTTTTTTTTTTTTTTTGCCTAACTTGGCAGCCCACAGGCACCATTTGATTTTTGGATTTGGACAATCCTGCAACAGATGTCCAGACCAATAAAACAAATTCCTAAAGGGCTACGCTTAATTTGTGTAATTGATCAATTTTTGTTACATGGGCCTCAGTTCACCAGCATGTAACTGCCTTCCAGATTAGCTCTGCAGTTGGGATTTCGTTCCATATGTTGCAATAGTTTATTGGCTCCTTGACGACGTGGCTGATACAACAGCGCAAGTGGGGAGACACCTGTTGGCAAGAAGCATCAAATAGAACAACTGGTATTAGAACAGAGGCAAGAGAGCCCAGCTGGCACTCAAGGGTACACTCTCAGGCAAGGGCCCAAGGCTGGGATCGGAAAGGTCATTGCCAATAACAAACAAAGACCATCTTTCAAGGCCAAATGGGCCTGGATAGACAAGACGACAGGGCAGAGGGTGGGTACAGACAAGGGTGTGAATCAGCAGAGGAAATGTGGCCCAGTTTGGCTCTAAGAGCTAAACCTGAGGTAGCTCTGATGCACAGCCTGCACACGTCACACCCGGAATAAGGCAGGAGGCTGCCTTATGATGAGTCAGACCACTGGGTCCATCTAGCTCAATATTGTCCACTTTGATTGGCAGAGACTTTCCTGGGTTTCAGGCAGGGGACAGTCCCAGCCTTGCCTGGGGATGTCGGGGATCGAACCTGCTACCTACTGAATGCAAAACAAATGTCCTGTCACTGAACCACGGCTCTTCTCCTTCTGGAACCAGGAACTGGCCTAAGGATGCATCAAATTGAGCAATTCAAAGGACGATGCTGGAGGCTAATCAGAGCTCAATTTCCATATACAGGGTGGCTCTTCCCCTGCAGTATTTTGGGGCTGTTCTCCCCACTATATAGAATAGAGTAGTAGAACTATGGATTCCACCATGTCAGCTTCAAGGTGGGTGTTAAAGTATTATTATTATTATTATTATTATTATTATTATTATTATTTTATTACAGTTGTACCTTGGTTGACGAACGCCTTGCTAGTCGAACGTTTTGGCTCCCAAACGCCACAAACCCGGAAGTGAGTGTTCCGGTTTGCAAACATTCTTTGGAACCCAAACGTCCGACACGGGTTCCAATTGGCTGCAGTAGCTTTTCCGAATGTTTTTGAAGTCGAACGGACTTCCAGAACAGATTCCGTTCGACTTCCGAGGTATGACCGTATTGTGTATTTAATTTATATACTGTCCTCAAGTTCTCGAGGCGATTCACAAGATAAAAATATAGGATAGAAGCACAAAAGGGGTAGTTGAAACAAAACAGAACAATAATCCCATGCTTGTATGACTTCACTTCTTATACTGCATAAGAAACTCTCCAAGTGCCATGAAAACAGCACATTAGGCAGAACTCTACACTGTTATGCTCATTCCATACTCTTGCAGGAAGCTCCTCACATGAGAGAACTTTTTTTATTAAAAACAACAACTATACCTATCCTACCTGCAGCCTCAAGTGCTACAGTTCAGAATCCTACCATTTACCACATCATTCTGCATAATGGGTAGATTGGCTGTGAGCTTCCTGGGTGCATCGTGAGGTGGAAACATCCACCAACCAAGGCAAGGGACTTGAGTTCCAGTCCTGTTTATAAATAGTGAAAGGATTAACACGCCTTTCACTCTGAGGGTGAATGTAGATTACACCCCACACCTTTCTTACATAATAAAATGTGTCAGCTTCAGAGGGCTTTAACCCCACCTCCTTATAGGAGTAATAAGTGCTCTAAAATGGAGAGGACAGATAAATGTTGAAAAATGATATCAATAAAATTTTTGTAGTACATTTTCCCTAATACAAAATGTCAGTGATTTACTTCTGCGCAATACAGGTTTAATTGATTCAAATAGCATCGGCAGTAATTAAAATATGGATTCTGAAGCACAACTGTTAGCTCTCATCACTCACCTATTAAACTTGCCATAGATGCTGTGTTAATTATCTTCCCATATCCTTGATTCAGCATAATGCGGCCTGCAGCCTGTGATAGAAATTAAAGGAAAGACCAGTGACCCCTTTTGTGATTCCGCTAATAATGACATGATAATAAATTAGTACTCACTTTTCAGAAGAGTTTATGTGCTAACTAATTTTCCCCTTCTCTAAAGTGCTTGATGTAAAAACTTGATATGGGGGAAATGGTTAATGCGGGAAAGTTTACGTAGCCATTTTAGTGCACTCCCAAAGTGCAGCTCCCAAAAGCCGTCAGCAAATTTGGGGTCTCTGCTTTAAGTCCTTAGAGCTGATGCTGAAAATATTAGCTTGAGTTTTTGTATCATTAGTAAATGCAAGATGAATGAAGCATCCCCCTGCCCAAAAAAAATCTGTATCCATTGCACTGGTTGTAAGCCCAATTCAACTTGCTGGTTTGACTTTAAAGACTCTAAATGTTTGTAGGCCACATGATTTGAAGGGCCACCTCCCCCCCCCTCTTTTCGAGAGGTGGGGACAGATTGAAGAACTCCCTTCCAATTGAGCTGTGCATGGTCTCATTCCCAAGTGTTAAATGGATGTATAAAATACACCTCTTTATAAAAGTCTGCCTTTTATAATTAAAGCCTTTCAAAAGAGCTGGCCCGGAAGGGAGAGTTCTTGAGTTCTGATATTGATGTTTGGCTGTTATTTTAAATTGTGCTAAAATGATTGTCTACATTGCTGCCACTGATGCTTAGTTTTATATTTTGCTATATTGAATTTGATATTCTCATGGATTTTGGAAAGAGAAATCGAGAAAAGCCATAATTTAATTTAATTTTGAAGTGTTTATCACCCACTCTTCAATGAATGTTTTCAATCTCTGAATGAGAGTTCCAAGGCAATTCCTTACATGTCTAATCCTTGCTTTCTATGTTTGTAGCTTGGACTGTAGATCTTAAAACCTACAGAAGCTGAGCCATAGCAGTGGGATGTTCTGTTACTGGTCTGTGCTTCTGTACGTTTCTGCTCTAGTAGATAGAATATGGTGACGCCTAGGTGGCTAGTCTGATCCAATGAGATGATTGTGATATTACTGAATGCTAACGAGAGGCAATTCCAGATGGAAATTTATTGTGGTATCAGCACCGTTCTTGCATTGTCCACATGACATCATCATCACAATGGCAGCCTGATTTTTTTTATTTGTTTAACATTTAATCTAGAGTTCCTCTTGGAAAAACTGGTAAGTAACAATAGAGCAAGTTTTGGGTGGTGACATTTTGGTGAGTGGTCTCTATAGCCACATCCGTATTTTTGCTTGTGCCTCACCTGAGCACAGCCAGCCGTTTTGTTTTTAGTGACCCAAATGATGCAAGCATGCCTCCCTCCACCAATTGCCACATACCAAAGGCATTTTATTTATATTATTATAATAATATTATATTATATTATAATATAATATTATATTATATTATATTATATTATATTATATTATATTATATTATATTATATTATAGTTTCAGAGTTTCAACCACTCAGACAGGAGTAGCTATTCTATCAAAATCTCAACACATTGCGAGAGACTATGTTGCATATTGTGGTCAATATCCAATTAAGTAATTCCGTCAGCTCACGGATTTCTGGCTGTACAACAGAATCTACTTTCCCTCCCTTTCCCTCAATCATCCTGTAAATCTGTTCTGGGGGTTACTGCAACTCTCCAGAGCAAATCTGGAGAGGATGAAGGACACATGAGGAGAGCTGTCCCTTATGGGGGTCAACCTTGCAACCTTGATGTTATCAGCACCACGCTCTAACCAACTTAAACTATCCTTGTGTTAATACAAGGTAACAGCCTGTAGTTGTGGTACATACATCAGGACCTTTAAAAAAAATTAAGTCAGAGGTCTTGTGCAAGACCTATTTTATCAGAATTTCAATCCAGCTAAATATCAGACTTGTGCAAGATCTCTCTTTCCTCTTTTCCCTAGCCTTTGACACTTGAGGAGCCTATTTTTATGACCTGCCCTATTCCTGGGACTGTAATTTGTTATAAACAGTTTTTAATGTTATTTTAAAAATTGTTTTAAACTACCCTGAGACCTTAGGGCATGTAATAAATCAAATAAATAAATTACTAAAAAAAAGTGTGTTGTTTTTTAATTAAACCCCTAAAAAATAGCACAACCATCCGTTGTGCCCATTGAGAAACCTGATAATTAATGGGTAGTAATGTTTCTCTTGGGCTCTTTTGCATACTTCCTGCGCAGACAGATATAGAAATTGCCTGCACATCTGCAGATCAGGAAAGTACTGTATAGTGGAAAGATAAGCAGTGGCTATTGAAGGGAAGTTTCAGAACACAAATCACAGAAACATTCCACCAAGATCACCCATGGAAACAGCATTATAGCATGCAAAGCAGACGGCCATGTGTGTGAGAGAGAGGGCCCTCACATGTCAATTGTGCACAAAGAAAAATTGAGATCCGAGCAACTCATTTGCAAGATATACCATAACTTCCATCAGGAAATGCCTTAGTAGATATAGTGTCAGCAAATTATTATTGCTAGAACCTTGTAAAGTAGTCAGGATCGTGCTAGCAAATCTCTGACCATATTGCTTTGAACGCTTAAAGACGGGAAACATGTTTTTATATAAAGCATTGCAGAGTCCGATACTCACCTGACAACACAAAAACAAGCCTCGCAAATTCACATTGAAAGTTTTGTCCCATTCCTCCAGAGAGGTGGCTTCACTTGGTGAATTCATGTTGATCCCTGCATTGTTACACGCAATATGGACTGTGCCCCACTTATCTACGATCGTAGCAAGCATCCTCTGCACATCTTCTGGTCTGCTTACGTCTGCTGCTATAGCAATGCTTTTTATCCCTAAATGAAGAAGCAAAACAAACAGAAAACATCTGACTTGCTTGCGGTTTTGTTGATGTTGTCATCTGTTTGCTCTTTCAACCCTCTTAATGACTGTGTGGCATTGCAATTAATACAGTAGTGGTAATAATTTACAGATGCATAATTTTCGAAGAAGCAAAACCATTTTGGGTGGTGTACAGTGGTACCTCGGGTTAAGAACTTAATTCGTTCTGGAGGTCCGTTCTTAACCTGAAACTGTTCTTAACCTGAGGTACCACTTTAGCTAACGGGGCCTCCCGCTGACGCAGCCACGCAATTTCTGTTCTCATCCTGAAGCAAAGTTCTTAACCCGAGGTACTATTTCTGAGTTAGCGGAGTCTGTAACCTGAAGCGTTTGTAACCTGAGGTACCACTGTATGTGGTTTTTTTTAAAGTAACATTTCAAAAGGGCTAGGCACAATCAACCCCTTGCAAGGCTTTTGGATTTTGGCCGAAGCTTTGAACACCCTGCCATCTACTGGCAAAGGATTTCAACTGCAAGTCTTCTACTGAAACGTTTGAGATGCTGCTGTCGGTTGTTGAAATCTTTATTTGCGTCTTCTTCTCACCCCTCTTCAATTTTAGAATACAATTCACTGTATTTGGTGTGGGGGGGGGTTGTCTCTTGGCTGCAAATATATCTGAGAATGCTAGTTCTAACAGCTGCCTCAGGAAGCAGAGCTATGGACACTATGATTCCAGAAGGAGACTCACAGCTTTCAGGTTCTGTGAATAAAGTGAAGAAGTTTGGGGAATGCCATACAGATTGTCCATTTGCACCTATTTCAATTTATTAGAATCAGGGATGGAGCCCTGAACTTCCCTTATGTCTTGAAAACTGCATTGTGGGAAGTGACCTTTACTTTTTCTTAGGGTACTTTTGCAACGTAGTTGGACAAGGGTCAGATTAATTGGCCCACCCTTCAGCCAGGAATTACATTTGGCAGTTGCTGCTCTCTGCTCATGCGATGCTGCTTTTTGCAGGCTCAGTCTGGAAAACGCCTTTCGTGTGATTGGGGATGGTGGAATCTGACAATTTCAGCCTCCCTCTATTTCTGCATTGCAAAATTCAGAGAAGTGTGAATGTCAAAGAATGGCTGTGTTTCGGTCTCCGCAATTTTGTAGATCCATATTTACATGTGAACTGGATCTCCCCTGTCCCTCCCACACCCCTTTTCTGACAGTAAACAAAGAAGACAGCTACTTTCCCAAGGTATTTGCTTTATTTCACTTCCCAACTTCCAGGTACGTGTAAATGCACCTAACCACTATGAATATGGTTGGGTACAGTTGCGGCCAAACACAGATCCCACCATGATTTATTGAGGTAATGTATTGGGGCATTAACTGCTTGCTGAATCCACAGTCAAATCCTGGCTGAGCTACTTACTCACCTGTCGGTCATGCTCAAACCCTTCTCTTTATCATCTACGATTGACCCCTGTGAAAAATGGGCCCCACAGGGTAGTTGCAGGAACAAAATTAGGTAAGGATTTTAAAAGTGCATCTCAAAAGTGCCCTATAGTTGATCATAATTTTGCCGGTTGCATATTGTGCCCATTCTAGGGTCAGCCAGCTAAGTCGGGCTTTGAGATCATTAAACTGGCTCATTCTTATCAAACTGTAACAAGCATATAGCTGCTCCAGGATTTTAAGAGATTGGGAAGCCCAGGTTTCCTGGCTTCCTGATCAACACAGGCCTGGGCAGCTGATCCAATGGCCAAGCACAACACATTTCAACATTGAGCCAGTTAAACTAAAGCAGGGCTTAGAAGGGTGAAATGCTCACATTTTGATAATAATAATAATAATAATAATAATAATAATAATAATTCTTCACATATTCCTACATGAAACAAATCTCTACGGAGCAATAGTCTTGAAAATGCAACTGATTAAATAAATAAAATGTAAACATAATTATAATGTAACAACAACCACACCCTCAAAGCTAAAATTGAATATTGTATTGAATCATCTTGTATAGGACCATTTTCCTATACATTTGTCATTATGTTGGCCTCTAGATTAAGGTGGAAAAATCTGTCAGTTTTGGTTTCACTCAGTTTCTCATTTTGCCCCTTCAGCTCTCCCCATTTCCACATCTGTTTGTGAATATATATACTTTTCCCCTCAAGGAAATCCATAAATGCTTTAGAGTATGTTTCTCCTAATATATTTTGTATATTTTGTATGCAGCTTTGCCTAATATACATTTCTTTGAAAAGCAAATTCCCTACTGCTATAATACATGTTTGTTGTTTTTACTAAGATGTGCATTTTTATGCACACTTTACCCTAATATAAGCATTATTTGGCTGCAGAATTGCTCTGCAGAATTTGGAGAAGTGCACTTTTTGAAGGATCTTCGTAATATTATATTACATGTTTCCCAAAGCCAATCTAGCCCACAAGGCAAAGAGAGAAGGTATGGACCACACTGGAATGGAAAAACAAGCCTTTTGCCTTGTTATAGGGAAGAATAACCATCCTCTCTATGTCTTCTCTGAAGGAAGCCCTGCTGAACTGAATGGGGCTGACGCCCAAGGAAGGCTGCATCAGATTGCTGTCCTAAATCCTTATTCACTTGTATTGATTTCATCTGAAGACATTTAAGTATTTGAAACCAAACTTAAACCAACTTCAACTGCTGGTCCATCTGGCCCAATCCTTTCCAACTCCTTTTGGCAGCAACTCTCTAGGTCAGGCTTCCTCAACCTCAGCCCTCCAGATGTTTTGGACTACAATTCCCATCATCCCTGACCACTGGTCCTGTTAGCTAGGGATCATGGGAGTTGTAGGCCAAAACATCTGGAGGGCCACAGGTTGGGGATGCCTGATTGAACTGGAGGAGTCAAGGATAGCTATCAAGCAATGCTCTTTCCCTAGCTATGGGAGCAAAGGAGCTCAGGTTCGTCAAGGTCTTCTTGCAGAGTTTTCCTTGCAAAGGAGCTCATGCCTTGCACAAATGTCTGCCTTCACCCAACCCTGCAGCTTCTCAGGTGCTCATTTTCAGGAGCAAGCAAATTATTGGGGAGATGGCTTTAATGACATTGCTTTTAAAGCCTGAATGAAGATGGTGTTGACTGGGCTAGGGGTTTGGGAAGAGAGGCAAGGTCAGATTGAATTTCAAAGCCAGAGGCTCTCTCTTACTATCAGGTGTCCTCTCAATATGAGAGAGTTGGCAGGTCTGGATCCCATGGAAGCAACCTGATTTATTAATGCCCCCCTAGTGGAGCTGAGCCAGCATTTTTGATCCGGCAACCATTTTAGCATGTGTGATGCGCCCGTAACAATTTGCACATGAAGGTAATAAAGATCCCTGGACGGCGTTTGATCAGAACTGGCCCTAATTTGTTGTGGCTATGCAGCGGATGTGTTCTCTGGTAGCATAAAGAGCAGGGAGAGCAATAGCTGCTGTTTGGCTCCACTTTGTTAGGGAAAAATCTTAAATGCCACAGCTGACACATGATTTATTGTATGGAACACCTTCTTTTGCTGGCTGATTGATGTGTATTATATAGAACCGGTTAACAAAAGATTGCTCTCCTCTGTTCCCGTCAGTCATGCCTCATTGTATGTTATTTTTCCTTCAAGTACCCCAATGAAGAATTCTATATAGGGTAATTTGCTTTCCTGGTTGAATCATCTCTGCTAGGCAACAAGGATCCGGCTAAGCTAAGTTAGTCCTTGTTTACCAACAAAGAGTTGAGGCAGTAGCTTTAGAGAACTTGCTTGATTGTTCAAAACAATCCCCTTGGACGGAATATCTCTTAAGCCGCAGGTCACACACACCCGCCCAAATGTACTGATTCACCCGCCACCCCCAGTCTCTCACCTGCAAGGTGAATGCCATCGCTTTATGTAGCCTTAGAGAAACCTGACTGTTTGCAGCAGGACAGAAAATCTTTGGGATAAAAACCTGTAACTGAGGGCAAGGGAGATAAAAAAAAAAATAGCCCAATGAGGACTGAGCAATCTCAGTGGCCACAATATATCGACTAGCTGTTGGAGAGAGCAGAAAGAAGTTGGGGAAATGGAATGGAGTCGACTGGAGTGGCTGGCACACTGATTGGCAACCCTCTGCACTGCAACATTTTGTTGCAGTGTCCCACTTGTGAACATCCCACCTCTGACCTTTCCATTGCTGTTCTAAAAAGAAACATACACAACGTCTTTGTACAAGAGCCATGCTTGGGAACTGAAATATGTAAACTTGCCAAATGACACCAGGAGAGCTCGCGGCGGCAGACGGCAAGAGCAGAATCATTGCATCCCGGACTAAGGATTTTACTGGCAATTGCTGGTCTGTGCTAACAAATGTTCTAGCCAAAGACAATGAGAGGTTTGTCAAGACAAGCAATGCCTGCTGGGCTGCTTTTGCCTTGGTGGGTTGTACAAAGTCCTTACAATTGCATTTATAGGAACCAGCGCTGATGGCAAATGTTGATGTCCAGGTACACGCTAAAAAGTCAGAGTTGTGTAAAAGATGCTGCATTGGATTTGGGTCAGTGACCTTTGGCACTCACTGTTTCATATGCTATTCTCCCTCGCAGGGCTGTTTTGAGGACGAAATAGTGGGGAGCAATGTATGCTAGCCAGAGCGCCTTGGAGAAAGAATAGAGTAGAAAAGTAAAGTAATATATAAATAAAGTGCATAATTGTTCTGAATGGTGTCCAGAACATTGGGGGCGTAGAAGATTATACTGTCTATCCAGCTCAGTATAATTAACACTGACTGGCAGCAGTTGTCCAGGGCTTCAGACACAGATCTCTGTCTGGAGATGCCTAGTGTGCAACTGGGTAAATTTAGATCCTGGATTTAATCGTCTTCTGCTCCTGCTCTTTGGGTGGCCCCTCAGTTGTGAACATAGCTGTCAACCTCCCCTTTTTTTGCGGGAAATTCCCTTATTCCAGCACCGTTTCCCTCTGCTTACCGCTGCTATCCCAGATTGTTAGATATCCCATAGACTGTCCCCGGGACAGGTGAGGCTGCTGATCCCTTATTTTCAAATCTGAAAGTTGACAGCTAGGGTTGTGAAACACACAGCATTTCCCTTCCTCCTACCATGCTTTACAACTACTTCTAGATGTCCAGATACGTTAGAACAGGGTTTCCCAAACTTGAGTCTCTAGCTGTTTTTTGACTACAAATCCCATCATCCCTAGCTAGCAGGACCAGTGGTCAGGAGTGATGGGAATTGTAGTCCCAAAACAGCTGGAGACCCAAGTTTGGGAAACCCTGTGTTAGAACAACTACAGCAACAAAAGACAAGCCTGTTTGTTTGTTTGTTTTTAAAAAGTTACTCTGAAAATGTGTTGTTTCACATTTTAAGCTCGCTTCAATCATAGCACCGTAAAGAGTTTTGTTTCTACTGTCCTGGTGCTAAGAACGTACTTACTTGGAATAGGCACTATTCCAAGGAAAGGATGATCCATATTTTTAACAGGAAAAATATATTAAAGTGAGCATATATACCCAATTACATAGCTGGGCCCCTACTTTTTATTAAATTTGTGCACTGCCCCTCACCCGCAGATTCCAGGAGGGTTTGCAAGATAAAATTACAATATAAACAAACCAATAATTCCCCCTCCCACAACACATTTAAAAGGCCATTGGATGTCAATCAGCCAAAGGCCTGGTTGAAGAGGAATATTTTCACCTGGTGCCTAAAGGTGTATAATGGAGGCACCAGCCAAACCTCCCTGTTTGCTGGGTGCCATTGGCTAGGGACCATAAGATAGGGGCCGTGCCCCCAACCCAGCCCAACCCAGCCCTAGCTGCACCACTGGAGACGCCAAGGATTGAGCCTGGAACTTCAGCACAAAAAGCAGATGTTCTCCTGTTGCTTACTGTGTTTCATACCTTTGAGCCGCAGCTCACATGCCACTGCCTCTGCTTTGGCAAGCACCAGGTCCGCCACAGCTACTTTCGCCCCTGCTTCCCCCAGCGCATGGCAAAAGGCTCGGCCGATCCCCTGGCCTCCTCCGGTGACATAGGCGACTTTGCCGTCCAGCTGCAGGCGGTCGAGGATGCGGCGGCCACGGTGGCCCCAAAACACGTCGTCTTTCACAACACCCTTTTGTAACCAAAACAGAGGAGTTCGCTGAGGCACGAAGGAAGCAAGCGTGACATGTAAAGATGAGCCGACACACTCTCACTTTCAAGAGCTTGAAATCAGGAAGCTCGGCAAGCCTTTCACCGTTAATGAGTGTATACATAGTGCCCCCATATGGATAAGATGTGGATTTCTAGCATGGGCATTCTTCCATGCTTAGAAAGAGTTGCATTTGCTGCTGCAAGCTTTAGGAAGGATTCCGCCAGTCCAACCCCCAGGAAGCGTAATCAGAATTAGCTCAACAATTGCAATGGATAATCAACATTTAAATGAGGAGCAGGACAGTGCCCTTCTCCCAAACTTTATGCACTTGCTCAAGCTTTTTTTTTTCTTTACAAAGTTGTTATTGCACTTCACCAGATCTTAACCTATTACAGTAATTGCAAGACTGGATTCCAAATATCATTGAATTTATCCATGGCAAGTCTGCGTTTATGTGCAAGTTGTTCATATGTTGCAAATTTGTATAAGTCTTCAATCCAATCGTAGAAGGGAACCACATTTTTACTTTTCCAATTCATCAGTATCAGTCTTTTGCCGTGGTAAGGGCACAGAGAGTCCACTCATATTGTCCTTTTGTAAGGTTCCATGTGCTGGGCATATAATTCAAAATGATATTTTGCTCTGTAAATGTAAGGTTGTTCTGTACAGTTCTGTTGATAGTTTCTGTCAGTGCTTTTTTCCCCTGGGGGGACACAGGGAAACATTTTGTGAATCTTAGTATTTTGTCCATTTACTGTATTTATTGGAACTATAAAATGGTGGTTTTCTTGAGTCAAAATGAGAGTACCCCTAAACATTTTTTAGGGGAAAAAAGCACTGGTTTCCGTTACCTTCTGCCCAGAATCTTTCAATATATGCACTCACTCAAACTTGTGAATAGAGCACACACACAACTTGTATGCATCTATAGTAGGGGTTGACAACATTTTTGACACAGTGGGCACATTTGGAGTTTTGAGAAAGTGCCTTGAGTGCCAGTCCCAGAATCATAGAATTATAGAATTAGAAGGGACTTCGAGGGACATCTAGCTGAACCCCCTGCAATGCAGGAATCTCAACATACGGTTGGTTCCTCCCCCCCCCCCCAACCAATCTGAAAACATTCCAGACCTGGCTTGGCTTTGCAAATATGCTAGCAGTTTTATAAGGGAGCACGGGCAGGAGCTCACTGTTGCAACCGCAGAGGTGTGCCAAAACAGCTGCAACTTCACTACTGCCCTTCCCCAGTCCTATGATGCCGCTGTTAGGAAGCAGACTCCTTAGTGCTAGCCCATTCACATGTATGACTACTTCTCAGGATAATATGGTGCTATCATGATTAGTGGCCACTGGGTGCTCAGGACTGTGTGGCTCAGGATTGCTGGTTAGGAAGTTTGACTTTATTTCCTTAGGGTAGATTCATGTTTTGTGTTATTTGTTTATTTTAAAAAAAATTACGTATATGCCACTATATCACAACACTATCAAAATTCTTTTAGGATTATAGACATATATAATAAAAAATACAAATTAAAAATCAGAGGCCATCAACTGGGGGAACAAAGTTCTGACTAGGAGGGATGCAAGTGTGTGAGGCAAACCTTACTGGCAAGTCAGTGGCGTGAGGGGAGAAACTTGCCAGATTTAGTTTGTTTCTTTCTTTTAAGTTTGAAATGCACACAAATTCCATTGAGAGAGAGGCAAATACATACTCCTAGGTTAGTCTCCTCATCGGCACATATCCGACTCCTTTGGAGAAGAATCAAGCCACCTTCCACAGGAAGGACCACCTTGATAAATGAAAACACACTTCATGAAACGTTTCAGATAAAACCTCATCCATTCACTTTGACCCCAGTCATGGCAACTATTTCAGAGAGGAATGTCAAAAACATTTGCAATGCCCCTCCCTCTCCCAGTAACAGGGGTCCTTCCCTCCCGCAGTGGTCTCAGGAAACACTCATTACAAACCACCTTTAGATACAGCAACGTCAGTTTTGAAAGGGATCAGTGGAAGGTTTTCTTCTATCTTGGTGGCGAAAACTAGTGTGTTTGCTGCTGGTCTGAACTGGGTCTGTGGTCTTGGAATGCAAGACTTCACAGTTGCCTGGCTTCTGTCAGCTTGAAGAGGGAACATAGAGGTGAGTGGGGGGGGGGGAGAGAAGCCAGTGTGGTCCTGGAGACCTAGGAGTAAGCAGGGCTCTCCTAAAGCTGTGCATGTTTGAGTTTACCTGAAGTACCTGGAGTCTAAGGCAGGCAGCCCTGCTGGGCAACAGCACACCTGTGTCTGCTCTTGACTTGAGACAGAGAGCACCCTTCCTTCCCTATCTTCCTTCCTTCCCTATTTCACACATGTGAACAGTGTGGAAAGATGCCCAGTGACAGCATGAGGGACATTCCCTCAGTGATGAGCGAGGGATTCGCTTGATTTCTTTGCCATACTTACCCTTTCTCTCAAATTCGTCTTTTGCCCCGAAGCACCAGCATTAGACCCTGTCTGTGTCAGACTCAAGGAAAAATCCTGGGACCCACCAGAAACCCAATACAATTTCACAGGCCTATAACTATCTGATATGTAGGAAATCCAGATTGACAGCTCCATCTCATTAGTGCCACACTAAGAAACATACAGTGAAAAGCTACGGTGATAACTTTTATCTGATTCCATCTAGTCTCCCCATGCCCAATGAGGCAGGCATCTCAGCTATCTTGAAACTTGTGGATCCGGCAGAGAGAGAAAATAAGCAGCTCTTAATGTATTTATTATTTAGTTTTACAGTGAATCCCACCAGAGGTTTCCTCCCACTCTTTTTTTACACTCACTCTCTCTCTCTCTCTCTCTCTCTCTCTCTCTCACACACACACACACACACACAGAGAGAGCGCAAGGGAGAGAGAGTCTTATACAGTGGTACCTCTGGTTATGAACTCAATTCATTATGGAGGTCTGTTCTTAACCTGAAACTGTTCATAACATGAGGTACCACTTTAGCTAATGGGGCCTCCTGCTGCCGCTGTGCGATTTCTGTTCTCATCCTGAGGTAAAGTTCTTAACCCAAGGTACTACTTCCGGAGTCTGTAACCCGAAGTACCACTGTAACAGCAAAAGAGAGCAGCAGGCATACTTTGAATAAGCACTAAAAGCACCAAACATACTTTTAAAACTAGAGCACATATACCAAATCAAAAGGCCCGGGCAAATAAATTTGTTTTTACCTGGCAACAGGCAGAGCATTTCAGAGTGAGGGGTGGGGGGAAAGAGACAAACAAAGAAGGCTCAGTCCTCAGTCACCACCCACCTCACCTTAATGTGATTATAATATATTCCTATTAGCGAGGGAAGCTTATATAAAGATAATCAGTATGTTTATGTCAAATGGAAGGGAGCAAGCAGAAGCGCCTAAACAAACATAGCACTTCCACCCCGAAACATGCAGAAAGCTATTATAATATTGATGTCACCCTTAATTGTATCGCACTAACCTGCTCCGTGTGAGGATCTGAATTAATTACTTGATTCAGTTTTTTGACACCTAATACATTTTCATCTGCCGTATTCTCCAGGTAGGCCTCTCCTTTCATGAGGGCGTTCTCTATGCAGAGCGTCCCATCCATCCTCAGCAAATGGTTCTCCATGACAAAGCGATAGTACTCTGCAGGGTTCCTTTGATCGGCATCAATAAAGACTATATCAAAATCTTTCCCCACGGCTGCTAACTCCTGGAATCAAAAATATTATAACCATGTCAAAGGAAACATCATAGCTATGTGTTATTTGGCCCCGAGGCCAAAACAAGTCAGGTGTCCTTGCTTTTAAACAAGCAAATGTCTTGCCTGCTTGCTTTTAAAAAAATACATAATAAAATCCAGCTGCCGGATAGTTCTGGTCAGGTCTAGACATGTTCTTACAACTCTCACTTTGTGGATCAACATGACCCGAGCCAGCATTTCTAAGCTTCGCAAACTTAATACACAGTGGGCTTCACCCTGCACTGCTAGTTGACAATGGCTGGCAGTGGCTGGTGCAAAGACAAGAACGGCGCTCAAGCTGGTATTGCAGAGACACCTAAGGAAAAGAGACCTGCCGTGCTTTGAGTATTCAAATGGGAATCTGGACATCGCCCAACAGCCCAATCAGACACTTTCAAACATGGCTATCTGGTTTCCTTTAAAACGAACAGACAAAGGATGGATTCTAAGGGAAGGCACTTCAAACCCACTGGCACACAATCCAAATAACTTTTCCGTACTAGTCGCCGGCCATGACAAATCTGAATAAAAAAACAAATACACATAAAGGGATGCCGTGCCGCAAATAATAGTCTCTATTTAGATCTCTGCATCTCCCTTACAGTTCAATAATGCTATATTGTCCAGGGTCTTCTTTCTGATCTTTTTGGCTGCCAGAGGAAAAAAGGGTGACTTTATGAGTCAATGAAGCGTTTACATCGCTAAGAAGCCACAGGACCTTCTCTGCTGTGGGGAGAGACATCTTTCCTGTACAGATGGTAGGGTGAGAAATCACCTCCTGGGTCCAATGTACAGCGGGCAGTATAGTAAATAGGGCAAGAGGCCCTCCACCTGCGGTTGCCCATATATAGAGAGTCTGTCTTCATACGGTGCTGGTACACCTTGGTGATTTCCAGTGATGCACCTTGTTCTTGACCTAAATGAGGTTGCAATTCTTCTACACTGCAGAATATATAGGATACAGCACAGGTAGCCAAGAAAGTGCACTACAGATGTTGTTGAGCTATAGGTCCAATCAGCTATGGCCAATACTCAGGGATGATGTGAGCTGCACCTCATTGGCTACCCCAGGGGCACCTAGTATAGCCGGGGGAAAGCACACGGCCCTTTTAAAAACACCGTTGGAATATTTCACTGTATGTGGACATCCACTCTTGTTGCTTCTGGATGCTATTCTATTGAGTACAGTTTATATTCACTGGCAAAGCTAAATCTCGGGGGAAGCTAGAGAGGGAATGCAATTTCTAGTAATAACAGCTCACAACAGTGAATACTATCCACTTATCCCCACAATTTCCAGCTATTTTGGACTCCTTTCTGAATTAACCTTTCATATCAAAAGGAGCAATTCTGCACACTAGAGACTCCGACACAATTTCATGCATAATTTATTCACTCAGCTCAACATTAAACGTGGAGTCCTTGACTTTGTCAAGGTGGATTCTGTTGGCAGACTTCACAAGCAGCCAAACAGGGGGAAATGAGATCTGCGCTTCAACCTCTTCACCTAGCCTGTCGAAGAAACGAGAGGAGGGGATGACAAAGGCAGCAAAGTCCCTCGCGCACGTCCACAGCGGCGCTGCAATTACCAGCAGCTTTTGCAAATGCGTCCTTATTACTTCCCGGTATTATCTGGTTAAGGCTTTCAAACGGAGCGATCTGAAACTGCGCCTCCATCAAAATAATAATAAGCCTGGAGGGCGTGAGGGAAAAGTTCCAAACCCGCTAGATAAATAAATAACATGTTACAACGGTGCCTTACACGATGGGGACCCTGTAGCATGTCATCAGGACGATAATGTATGGTTTCTGCCCTAATCAACGTGAGGGGTATCAAACACTCAAAACGTTGAGTGTTTGTTGTTGTTGTTGTCATGTTTATTCTCATTATCCTTTTATTATGAGGCAATTGTCTCCCTTTATGGGCGAGGAACTAAGACACAAGGCACAGGAAACGCAAGACCCTTGTGGCCGCCACAGGATATCAAGAGTCTGGCTATATCAGCAGCTCCTTTAACATGGCCTGGGTGTCTTAAAGAGAAAGGAGAGCATTCACAGAAGGCCACCGCATATGTTTTGCTCGGCATCCAAGCAGGCAGAGAAAGCCTGTGCAGCAGGAGGCTACGGGATAATTTTGCTTGGCAGCTGTTCAGAACAGCATCTGCAAAGGGATTGGGGAACGTGCGAGAGTAGGTCCGCCCTGTGTGCACAACCATCTGCTAATTCCCTGCCTTGTGTACCCAAATCCCTACTGGGGCACCTAGGCAGCCTGTGGGCTGCCCTATCCTTCAGTCTATGATCTGCGGCATGAATTAGAGCTTGCCTCCTTTGACCTTCTGCAAAGCATCCGCACAGGAAATCTTTGGCTTTAGCTTATTGGCGCGTCCATGCGAGACAATGAAAAGCTCCACGTAGCCAAGTCTCATATAAGCTCAACAGGGGCTGGCCCGAAACATTTTGATGCCTAAGGCAGCAAAGGAGAAGACAGTGCCCTCTCCTATTCCAGGTACAGAAACCGACCAGACTGGCATCTGAATCTTGCATTAGCGCTGGCAATGGGACAGCATCTTCATAGCTCCCCAGGGGGGTGACACATCTCTTCCTTCTGCACCATGCCATCTTTTATACACAGCCAGTGTGGTGTAGTGGTTAGTGTCTCAGACTAGGACCTAGCAGACTAGGGTTCAAATCCCCACTCAGACTCCTTGGGCCACTCACTGCCTCTCAACCTAGCCTACCTCCCAGGGTTGTCAATCTGAAGACTGGTGGTTCGAGCCCACACAGCGATGCCTGTGGGCAGGATTCCGGCACTGCAGGAGGTAGAACTAGATGTCCCTCAGGGTCCCTTCCAATTCGTCAATTCTATGATTCTATGAATCCTTGGAGAAAAATGTGGGGGTAGAAGTGAAATAAATAAATACTAGTGGCTTTCTTTGTCTATTTGAACACAACTTTCTTATTCCCCATTTAGTAAAGCTGTCTTGCATAGGGTTGCCATGTGTCCTCTTTTTCCAGGATACGTCCTCATTTTCAGGGGTAAAAAACTGAGACAAATTGCATTTATTTGCTTTGAATGGCCACCATGGCATCCTCTTCCCCCCCCCTCTTGTTTCTAGAGTCTAGAAACAAACATGGCCTTATCTCAGGCACCATAGCACTGTTTGGGCAGAGGGCCATGTTGAACTCCTTAGAAAAATGCTGAACTCCATAGCAGGGGAACACACTTATTAGTCAGCCAACTGTCACAAATGGCCGAGCAAGAAGTCTTTTGCAGGCTGGATGTTGAGCAAAGCATGGGAGAGGCGGGGGGAACTGCCTTGGTGCTAAAGCCATGAAATCTGTGTTGGAAGACTGTGGCCAATTTCAGTCAGAGTCTCCCATTACTATTATATGGGTGGCTACTCCACACTGCAGGGGCCTGATCTGGTCCCCCCAAGATCTCACCAATTTTGGCCAAAAGCATAGGCCCAAACTCCTAGGGGCTGAGGTCCCTTCCCCCCCCCTAAAATATTCGAGGGAGCCTCTGTCCCAAATTGATGGGCATTGCCATTCAAATGGTGTGTGGGGGCTACATCTTGTGATCAGTTATGCAAGGCGGTGCTTACCTGGGCCTCCCCAATATTTTATTCAAATTGACACCCTTGAACAAAAGTGGGGGAGTATAATACAGTGGTACCTCAGGTTAAGAACTTAATTTGTTCTGGAGGTCTGTTCTTAACCTGAAACTGTTTTGAACCTGAGGTACCATTTTAGCTAATGGGGCCTCCTGCTGCCGCCGTGCCACCGCTGTGCGATTTCTGTTCTCATCCTGAAGCAAAGTTCTTAACCCGAGGTACTATTTCTGGGTTAGTGGAGTCTGTATCCTGAAGCGTCTGTAACCTGAAGCGTCTGTAACCCGAGGTACCACTGTAGACTTAACACTGGAATGAGGGGAGCCCAGAGCCCTGACAGAGATGCAAATGGCTCCCTCCCATCAGATAAATTATTTGATAAGTAGAGATAAGGCAGCAACCCTGATCTGCACGGATCAGCTGAGGAGGAGGAGGAGTTTGGACTTGATATCCTGCTTTATCACTACTCGAAGGAGTCTCAAAGCGGCTAACATTCTCCTTTCCCTTCCTCCCCCACAACAAACACTCTGTGAGGTGAGTGGGGCTGAGAGACTTCAGAGAAGTGTGACTGGCCCAAGGTCACCCAGCAGCTGCATGTGGAGGAGTGGAGACGCGAACCCGGTTCACCAGATTACGAGTCCACTGCTCTTAACCTTTACACCACACTGGCTGTGCACCCCCCCCTCTCCAGTTATTGGCTGCCAAATACTGTGCTTAGTACTGTGCTGACCCATAACTGCAAATGCTACTATTCCCACTTAATAAGCATCAAAGCATGCCAAGTTATGTACCAACCTCTTATGCCATGCCTTTGTGCTTTCATAGGATCCCTTCTGCTTCAACCAAAGCTTTAGCTTGACAAATCTTAGTGCCAAGGTTTTGAGAGCCTTAGCAGAAGTGGTGAGATCTCCATATCAGCCTCAGCGCCTAACACTATATGCTTCTATTTGATCAATTAATATCTTGCCCTTCCTCCTAAAGAAGCCCAGGGTAGCAAAAAAATAATAATTATAAACATCTAAAAATAATTCCTTGTATTAACTTTTTAAAAAGCTATAAGCACCAAAAGACAAGCAGCAAGACAACTGTGTGTAAATGATCCTAGACAGAGATCTTGAACAAGCTGGCCAGAGCAGTCGTCTAAAATGGACAGGCCCATACAAGAGCTTCCAGGTGCTTCTTATTTTGGGGGCTGAGCAACAGAAGGAGAGAGAAGGCTCCTGCTCTTGGTTCCAGACCTAGTGTGGCCATGGCAGGCAGTTCTCTTGAAGGAGTCTTCTATTTAAAGTGTTGTCTAGCCCAAGTCCAGTTTACAGGTAAAGAATTCTAAGAGGCCTTTTGCAGTTGTCCCAAAACAGTTAGCACACCTCAGCAGGCTGAAGAGGCCACCTGCGTCACCTGTTCACAGACCTTCCCACTATGGCGAGGAAATCACAGGAGCTATTTCTAAATTTGCACATCTATGCAAATAAATTAGCATATACACAAAATTTATGCAAACTGTACCAATTTTTTTTTGCGATGGGTAAGTGTCCGCCCTATCCAGAGTTGCCTCAGTTTTGCTTTAACGTCCCAGGCCTCATTTGCCTCTATGTGATGAATTATTTTTTCGTCTTTTGGCTTTGTCATCTTAAACAACCCTCCCCTCCACACACACACACACACACACACACACACACACACAAACTGGCAAGGAACAAATCTGGCAAGCAGGCAGAACACATAAGGCACCTCCATATGGCACTTATTTGAGAAGATGGTTCTACACTCTCTCTCTCTCTCTCTCTCTCTCTCTCTCTCTCTCTCTGAGAGCAACTCCATCCCTCATTCAGTATTGTAATCTTATTGGCCCATCTAACCTTACTGCAGCTCGTCTTCAGTCTGAAGAAGCCCTTTTCTCCCTTGAATGGGCGCACCTTCAGGTACTGTACCAGGAAACCTCTCTGCACTAGAGAGGATGTGCTTGCTCCAATGCATACAGATTAGTAAACCCTGTGTTTGCGGGAGTTTCAGTGCTTTAATGATCATGAATGAAAGCTAACCACAGATATGGGATAAACCAGAAAGGGGCAATAGGAGGACAGGGAATGTTGTCTCTAATGCTACATCAATCCGATCCAACGCACAGCTACTAACAAGGAGATCCTATGAACATTCTGCTGAATTTCTACATGAAGAGGGTTGCCACCTGAAAGGATGTGGCTGCAGCCCCTCCCCGCTGCCCAACCACATGAAAGCTGGTTCAGATCGCAGCAAGGTCCACTACCACAAGACCTTCAAAAGCTCAGATGTAATCGATGTCCAAGGTGGAACCAATCACAACATGAGCTCAAAAGTGGGCAAGAATATTTTCAGTTGATCAGTGTGTGTGTGTGTGTGTGTGTGTGTGTGTGAGAGAGAGAGAGAGAGAGAGAGAGAGAGAGAGAGAGAGATTCCTGAATGCAATACAGTGGTACCTCAGGTTAAGTACTTAATTCGTTCCAGAGGTCCGTTCTTAACCTGAAACTGTTCTTAACCTGAAGCACCACTTTAGCTAATGGGGCCTCCTGCTGCCACTGCGCCGCCAGAGCATGATTTCTGTTCTCATCCTGAAGCAAAGTTCTTAACCTGAAGCACTATTTCTGGGTTAGTGGAGTCTGTAACCTGAAGCGTATGTAACCTGAAGTGTATGTAACCTGAGGTACCACTGTATGTTTGGTGGACAATGACCACTATGGGTAAGATATGTGGTTAAATATGTATTTATTCCTCTTTTGGCATTTCCCGGTCTCTCTCTCTCTCTCTCTCTCTCTCTCTCTTCCCACCCACCATCTTTGGGAGCCTCTGTTCCCTCATTCTGGATATTCAGGGCTGAGAGAAAAGCAGCAGTGCTAAATGTGCTACAAAGAGTTTTGACTCTTTCCAACTTAACCCCACTTTGGAGATATTGAAGACGTGCTGTCTTCTGGCCGTGTTTGACAATCTAGATCACTTAGCCTTTCGCAAGGGCTGTTTACAGCACGCCGTCGGAAAATCAACCGCAGCGCTCTCCTTTAAAGGTTCCATTTTCATGTCTTCGCTCCCATCCAGGTCCCTTCTTTAATCTTCACACTGCATGTACTCTGCTTGCCTCTAGATATTTTTATTCACAGTCAGTTACACTGAATGAGCACTAGAGAGCAACAGCAATTCAATTAATTTCACACTCTTTGCAGGGAGCCAAAAGGATTTTTAAAACCTTGCACCATTGCAGGTGATCTGTAACATTCTCCACCCCCACTACCACCCAGTGTATCTGCCAAAATCATTGTATCGAGGTGTACATATTTATTTCCTGTCAAGCACACAGCGACAAAAGAGTCTGAGAAGCTTGCGACCGTTTAACTGAGAACCAAAGGCAAGGCAGCAGAAATAATGCAAAAGAAAGTTGCAGTGAGGAAGAGCAGGAAGAGCATATGAGGAACTCAGTCAGCCCTAACTAAAGCCCAGCTGGGTAGTGAAATGTTGGGCCTTTTTCAAGCTGTATTGTTGACTGGGAGGCCTGATCTCGAGCAAGCCCACCATAACAACTTTATATCCTCCTCCTGAACATGCTTCCCCAACTCCAATATTTCTATATAAAGTAGTACTCAAGAGTTCAGATTTAAGCCAAGCAGCATGGGGAAATCTGAGGATTGGGGGGGAAGCAAATAGCGCCCTTTTCCTTTCGACTCTCAAACCTCCCTCCCTGTGTAGCACAGATAGGCAACCTTTATAACCACAAAATATGCATCCTTCTGATCCTAATTCCACTCCAGGTTAGTATATGAAGGTCAAGGTCTAGATGGCAGATTTCCTCTTTCCTTCCCTGCATTTTATGTAAATCACCTGGAGGCTCATGAGGAGCAAGATGATTAATACATACATTTCCCCCCTCTCCCACCCAGATAAGACCCTCAGTATTTTGCAGCAGTATTCTGCACCAGGCAACTTGTTAATTGCAAGGGTGGGGTAATCTTATGAGCCTAGTCTAATTTGTATGACCTTCGTTCATGGAGTCAATCTTCGGTGGGTCTAATGAAGCAGCAAGGGAATTTAGAAAACAGGTGTATGTGAAGTTTTGCAATAATTAACAGTGTTTGTCACTTAGATTCAACAAACAGTTCTTAAAGCAAAACCGTACCTCCAAGGAGTCCATTATTGGTCCTATTTGTGCCCTCATTTTGTTGCCATGAGCTGAGAAATCAAAGGCCTCCTGGCTGGATTCTCCAAAATGGGGCTGTGTGGCACATATGGTTATGCTGCTGTCTTCTGGCACCAGTTCAGCCATAGCCAAAATGGATGGGACTTTTAGCCTTCCTATTATCAAAATTGTTTTGGCTCCTGTCATATGCACCAGCATCCTGTGAAGTTGCCCTGGGCAGAAAGGAAAACAGGATGCAAATACATCACATTTCTACCATTTTGACTTCACATACACAAGTACCACTGGCAATGTCCAAAGCATGAGACTTTTATATTTATACAAACTGACTAGAAGCTGCCTGGGGAGGGGGGGGGAGCTGTGATTTTTAGATTGGCAATTTCCATGAAAACAAAACACTCTTCTAGCCCTTGCGGTGGAGGTCTTGAGGAATATTGTGGGATGTGTGTTTAGTATCTGAAAAAGGCTTAAAAATGGTTCAGGTAGGGCTTTCACAGATATTGCTTTGCGGTGAGCAACTTGTGTGGTAAATTTCTAAAATCGGATTGTTTTGTTCTGTTACGTTTTGTCGTTGTGCTTCTGTGGCTTATGGAAACCCCAACATAAGTTATAAATTATGGTTCCCTGGGAGTTTTTTGTGGGGGAGAAGCCATGCCTGTTAAACATGGTATTCCTGTCGATCTACGGCGCAGCTGGGGCCCAGAGTTTCACTCAAGACGTACTCAAATGGCAAGCAAAGGCGCAGAATGATGATACAAGAACATTTCAGAATTGGGACTATAACCACAAAGCGACAGCATCAACACGGAGCTTCAGGAAGTAACAGGCAATCATTTAAAATGTTAAAAGCCTTTTTGATAAATGCCAGCTAGCGTTGTTCTAAAGCAGGGCCTGAACCGCTGAATATTTGAATATTTGCCCCTGTGAAAAAAGGCTTCAAGATGTTTCACATATCATGTTCCTGGGACATGTTAAGTCGATGGGGGGTTTGAGAATCACGAGATTACCTTGCATTTGCTCTTAAAGTCATTATCCCCAGACAGCAACATCATTTAAGAGATTTATCATCGCTGCTGCCCTTTGAACAATGTATTCCTGCTATACGTTGCCAGGGCACTTTGTTTCAATGATGTATTACACAAAAGATGGCAACATCTGGGATGCACGAACCTGGCGATTTAGTGTAATAACTTCACAGAGGAGCAAAGGCACTGAGTGTTGAAATAATCTGAAATGGACCAGTATTCATCCCTGACAAATCATCCTCTATAAAAACACCCAGATTTTTGCAGGAATAAAAATCTGACTCCTCCTTCATTAATTTAATATCCTTACTGCCAGCAAAATAAGTAAAGATGGCTTGAGGGGGAAAGGCTGTTCACTCATATCAAATGCTTGGACTGTGCATTCTCCAGGAACGGAATAGGTTGCTACTGGTGTGATGGCAACAATGGGTTGGATCCAATGTTACTCCTACTCAGAGTAGACACATTTAAATTAATGGACACGAGTAACTTCGGCCCATTAAAACTTTGTTGTATACAACCCTATATCTCCACATCTTTATCTCCCATTTGCATGATTTTGAATTTATACATGGAAGCTTGTTGAAGCTTGTCTTCAGCCTGTGGGTGTGCACACCTATTACGTTTTATCTCTTTGTGGGGTACAAAAAAATTAGAGTACCTATGGACTGTAATAGGATTGCAAGCCCTCCTCTGAAACTGCATACTTATAATTTTCAGCGTGTTGATGCAAATCATGGAAATATCTGTGGGAAAGTACCTCTTTTCTAAAATTGAAGTATGACTGCTACTACGCAGAATGTGCAACCATTACTCCCCGGCACCGGAAGCGGCGTACATCCAGGGGCGTAGTTGGCATGCGTCCCAGGGGGTGTGGCATACCGCCCGCGGGGGCATGACATGTGTCGGGCAGGTGCGCAGCAAGCTGTGTGCATCCCGGGGCGTGAGCGGTGAGCGTCCCGGGGGTGCGTGGCAGGCACCGAGCATCACGGGGGCGGGGGCAGCCATGATGTCACCCCCCCGGGATAGCACCCAGGGCGGACTGCTCCCCCCACCCCACCTTTGTCTGCCAGTGTGTAGGATTGCCTCCTTTTGTGGCAAGGATAGAAAGGGAGGAGAAAGAGAACTGTGGACTCAATTGTACAAAAGCTGTGGTTTCTGCTGTGTATGCATAGCTGTCAAGGTTTTCCTTTTTTTTAAGGGAAATTCCCTTATTCCAAATAGGATTCCTCACAAGAAAAGGGAAAAGTTGACAGCTATGGTGTATGGCCCATACAACTGACCGCCTTCAAAACTGCTGTTTAGATGTTGCCATAAGCAGTACCCAGAATGCTCAGTTGGCAAGGGTGCTTTTCAGCAACTTAAGTTAGTTCGCTATTTTTACCCTTTTTTGGGATAGAAACAAGTTAGTACAAGCAAGTCATGCTTTGGTGACATCCTCTAGACAATGGTAACACACTTTAGGCAGGGTGTGGCTTTTTTGGAACTGCAACTGTTCCAGAATGCAGCGCCCAGGTGACTAACTGTGCAAACCAAATGCTTCTTTTACATACTCTGGCTTCTAGTTGGTTTCTGGACCCAATTCAAAGTACAGTAGTACCTCGGGTTACGAACTTTGCCCCAGGATGAGAACAGAAATTGCGCACCAGTGGTGCACCGGCAGTGGAAGGCCCAATTAGTGAAAGCGCGCCTCAGATTAAGAACGGTTTCGGGTTAGGAATGGACCTCCGGAACGAATTAAGTTCGTAACCCAAGTTACCACCGTACTGGTTTTCACAAAAAGTTTCAGACTAAAACTCCCATCACCCCCAGCCAGCATGGGTGGGTGGGAATTATAGTCCCATACATCTGGAGGGCACCAGGTTGGAGAAGGTTGTCATAAATGGTCTAGGTCTGGGATACACCAAGGACCATTTTCTTCCAAGTGGACCTTTCCACACATTGAGATCTTCCTTAAATTCCCTGCTCCATTTATCCCATTTTTTATGAAGAGGATAGGGCTTTCTCTATTGTGCTTTATTGATTCTGTTCCCTGTGCTTGATGTTGGTGCTGTGTTTATTTGTTTTAGTTTTTATTGTGTATTATAATGTGTAATTTTTTTCCAATATTAGCCAGCTAACTTATAGAATCCATAAAATGGAAAGGCAGGATATCAGTATTTTAACAAATGAATGAATGAATCAGGCAGGCAGGCAGTCAACATTCACAACATTCACTAGATGTCTGCAACATTCCACAGGAAATAGTTGTTGCAGCCTATACACTACATATTGTAATAAATATAAACTACACTGGTATAAAGCTAGTCTACTCTTGGGTATAAATAAATAGTGCAAAATTATAAAACATGTGATCACATCTCTATGCTTGCAGGTATGCATCTCATGGTTCCTTGGTTCTACCTAGAATTTGGAAATCCATATATGCTTTGTGAGTAAACATATAGGATTAGATGAAGCCTTTGTTGGGGTTTGCCAAATTTTACCTGCATGCAAAGCCTAAACTCCATTATCAATGTGCAAAACATAGTTATTTCATAATGCAAAGGACTCACCTTCTGCATAGCTTGAGAGCTGCTCTTCATTAGTCTTGACCTTCATTTCACTGAATTGGACATTCAAAAGGCAATACTTGGATGACGTTGTCCTTATAATTGGAAAGGAAGAAAAGGATCAACTCACTGGAAACAGATTTTATTTTTTTTTGGTACCCCCTTTCCAATAAATCCTTAGGCTATGACCCTAGTGTTTAAAAAAACATCAATTTGCTACCTCAATATGTGTTGATGAACACAAGCTTAGCTTGCTTTAGATAAATTTGTGAAGGACAGATCTCTTCGTGGATACTTCTGGTTTTCAGGTGCCAGAAGCAACTAATAGAACAGGTGTGGGGAACCTTTGAGTCACCAGATGTTGCTGAACATCCATCATCCCTGGCTATGCTTGCAAGGACTGGTGGGAGCTGTAGTTCAGCAACATCTGGAGGGCCAAAGACTTCCCACTCCTGTAATAGAAGATGGCCATGATCTTCAAGTCCTACTTATAATCTTCTCAGAGCCACCTAGTTTGCTGTTGTTGAGCAATAATAAGTTGTTGCATGGAACTCTGGCCTGATCCAGCAAGGCACTGCTTATAGGACTATGGCCACCCATGTATAAGAATAGTCATTGTCCAGGCAAAACAGACATCAGAATGATGAACCCACCGAAGAAAATGTAAGCTCTAGATCAGTGGTTTGTACATATCGGTGGGATCACCTTGCTGAAGGAACCATCTTGTGTAGTTGGTCGTTTTTGGCCACCTAATTGGCAATGCTTGACAATTTTACATGGATTTATTCCACACTGAGTTAGTGTGGTGTCATGGTTAGAGTGCCAGCCTGCATCTCTGACTAACCTATCTCACAGGGTTGTTGTGGGGAATAAATGAGGAGGGGAAGAACCATGTACACCACCTTGAGCTCCTGGGAGAAAAAGGCTGGGCATCAATCAATTAAACAATCAATGTAGATAATTAGTATCACTCCATACAGCTGTTTTTTAAGGGGTCGCAACATCAGCTGCAATGTTCGAATAGCCAAGCATTCCTCCTCCTTTCAAGGAAATGAGATCTGTCTCAGTGGAAGAAAGCAGAACCCCACAAGGCTTAGGTATGAATACCTCCAGGCCAGCATTTGAAATAGACATCATCTGTTCCTGCTCTGCTCCCCACACAGTCTTCCATAATATAAGAAAAAATTCATAACCCATAACAGATATGCTCAGCTACTCCAAGACTGGAAGAGTAAGACATTTCAGGTAACCTCTTTGCTGCCCCTCGCCAGTGCTTGAACAACTTTAATAAGATAATGTATAGCTATTATCACCAGCAAGCGTTAGTCAGACAACTACCGACTATTATTTCAGCAACAGAACCAACACTCAGTTTTCCTATAACCTACAGACTGGAACAGTTTACACATTGGTAGCTCCTAAGAAATGAACAAACTTTTTTCTCTTCCCCCCATAGCAGAATATATGCTGATAAATGGGAACTATTTAGCAACCCAGGTATTATTGTTATAGCTGAGAAAGGAATAATGACAGTCCCAGTCAGGCTGATGAATTAATGATACCTAAAATTAGCTTAATTAATTAGTTTAGTTACTAAAGCAATTTAGTTAGCAGATTAATTAATGCTCACAGAGTAAGTTATTTGAAGACCCAAGCTCTGGGGCATCTGAAAGCACAATCTTAGAAGTGTCTAAGTGTTTAATGGAGTTTTATTCCCAAAATAAGGCTGAAATCCTAACCCCATGTATCTGGGAGTAAGCCCGATTCAATAGTATACTTGGTTACAATTGCAACCTGTGTAATATTGTAGCCTAAATTAATTGAATAACTGGAGTGGGCCCACATCTACTGTGTATTTGTTTAGCATACTTTTTCCACAGACTGAAATAAGAGCCATGCTTCATTCATTAAACTTTCTGATCTTCTATTTTCCTGATCTCCATTGCTTGGCTTGAGAGGCAAGTGAGTAACAATTTTACTTGGATGTCTCATTATTTGCATTGTTTTAAGACAGGAGTTGGTTTAAGTTTGCCATTGTGAGCTCCCCTAAATAATTTTTGCTTAAACTGAGTAATATAACTCCCCTCTCAATGCTGCAATCTGGCATGGGAGGGAAGCTGTAATATCCCAAAACAGTTTCTTTTGTTCCTTCACACACAAACAGACATGCACACAAACACACCAGCCTTTTACTAGTGGTAGATCAGAAGTGTCACTCTCACCAAACTCTGATTCTTCTCTGGTTGCAAAACAATCCCAACAGAGACTATCAAGAAAACCTTTTTGTAACAATTAGATTCCATGAAGAGAAATCACCTAACCATCACGGGCCATTAAGAAATATTCATTTTTTTTCCAGATTTCCATCAAAACATTTGTGATAATCCCACTCATGGCAGTAAAAGAGCCAACACATAACAATAGACTGAACTATACATTCACAATGTAGAGAAGGTAGCACAAGGAAATTTAGTCACGCCTTCTGTCACAGCCAGATGATAAATGAGTTACCTGTTAGAACTTGCCTCTCTTGTCAGGTAAAGGTCCAATCCTCCTGCTGCATCAAGAGCTTTCTGCAAGTAACATCCTAGCTCTTCAGGAATTCCAGGGTGACCATGTGCTACCTCTCTCGCTTTCTTGAGGTTCTCAACTATAGACCCAATGGATAATTCTAAAACAAAAGACCGAAGGCAAGAAGCTTTAAAAAGAAAATCTGTGAGACATCTCCATTCCTCAGGCACCTACGGGTGATGGTGATGAAGATGAAAAACTTGGTGTGATTTTTGAAGGAAAAAATAGATTTGTAGAAAGCAGTTGGCAAAATAATATGGGTTTGCCTATTGCGGATTGACATTTTCTAAGTTTCAATTAACAAAAGGAAAGAAGAGCAGGGGCAAAAGTGTTTCCTTTAAAGTCAGTGATTTACATAATTTACCTACAAAAGCACAGCTAACTGCTAACCGTGCCTTGCTGCCCGTGAATTATGGCCTTGGCACCTGTAGTTTCATAACCCAACTCCACCCTTATGGATTATAACACCAAATGCAGGTCTCTAACATGGTGTGGGAATGATGACTGTTGAGCATCATGCTTGACTGCATAATAAGATCAGAAGTGAACATGGCATTTATTTATATTCAATATGGCATTCATAATGGATATTACACGTGCAGAATAGGGCACCACATCCTAACACTAGACAACACTGATGCATTTCTTTATGCAAGCCCATAAACGTGAGCCACTGAGGCATCCCCAGACAACGTGTTCAAATGGGACCTTACCTAGACGAGAATTTATGCAAACATTTGTTAATATATCTATTAACAAGCCCTGAAAGGTCCATTATCGGGTGCATTCAGTTGTTTTGAGAGGGGAGATCATGTCTAGCTTGTTTCAGAAGACAGCTCTTTTGCAATAACTAGGAGCATCTTGGAAGTAGGAAGCTATTATTCAAACAAGAGTGACACAATCATGCAATAAACGTTAGCAATTCAGATTTCTGACAGTACATGGAATATAAAGCATGAATGTATAATATTCATACCCCCAGAGCAATGAAGACTAGAGGACATTCTAAGAGAAAACAATGTTTTATTACAAATCTTTTAGGCGGCAATGTTTTATCAGCAATCTTTGTCACAAAGTCGTATTTCCCCAACATGAAATATTTCTTGCAAAAAACCCCAAGGTGCATTTATTTTTAGTATTAAAGGTAAAGGACCCCTGCCAGTTAAGTCCAGTCGCGAACAACTCTGGGGTTGCGGTGCTCATCTCGCTTTACTGGCCAAGGGAGCCAACGTTTGTCCGCAGACAATTTTTAATTTTTCCGGGTCATGTCGCCAGCATGACTAAGCCGCTTCCGGCAAAACCACAGCAGTGCATGGAAATGCCATTTACCTTCCCACCGGAGTGGTACCTATTTACTGTTGTTAGCTGCTCTGAGCCTGACTTCAGCTGGGGAGGGCGGGATATAAATAAAATATTATTATTATTATTATTATTATTATTATTATTATTATCTACTTGCACTGGTGGGACGCGGGTGGAGCCTAGAGCTTGCCGATCAGAAGGTTGCTGGTTCGAATCACCGCGATGGGGTGAGCTCCTGTTGTTCGGTCCCAGCTCCTGCCCACCTAGCAGTTCGAAAGCATGAAGTGCATGTAGATAAATAGGTACCACTCTGGTGGAAAGGTAAATGACATTTCTGTGCACTGCTCTGGTTTGCCAGAAGCGGCTTAGTTATGCTGGCCACATGACCCGGAAGCTGTACGCCGGCTCCCTCAGCCAATAAAGCGAGATGAGCGCTGCAACCCCAGAGTCGTCTGCGACTGGACCTAATGGTCAGGGGTCCCTTTACCTTTACTTGTACTGGTATGCTTTCGAATTGTTAGGTTGGCAGGAGCTGAGACAGAACAACAGGAGCTCACCCCATCGCAGGAATTCGAACTGCCAACCTTTTGATCGGCAAGCCCAAGAGGCTCAGTGGTTTACACCACAGCGCCACCAGCATCCCTATCAACAAGGTACTAAGGACCCAAATAGGCAAACGTGGGTCAGGTCAGCCTCATGCCCCCTTGCAGGTCTCAGTAATACAGACTTGGGCTGCTGCTTCATCCACAACCAAATTGTGGATGACTGATGTTTTATTATGGGATGACCTAGTGTTCAGGATCAGCACACACATATCCCACATACAATTGTCTATTGATGTTCTAATTTCTAATTTCTTTTTTTATTTTCCCTTGCTTTAAACTTTTTATGATTTATTGTCTGGTTTTATGTTTTCATGTAGTTGTAAATTGCTGTGATACCTTTTTTATTATAAAGTGGAATTTGGATATTTTTACAAGCAACAAATAAAACACAATTAGGAAGGCTAACATAAGAGCCTAAATCTTGTTGGGTGGGAGAAGGACCAGAAAAGGGCAATAGCTTCCAAATGTCTAAAGCCCCTCTCCTTACATAACTAGTCTTACCTCCAATATCATCCATCCCTCTAGAAGCCGCAATGAACCAAGAATTACTTTTTCCCCTTTTGATCACCTAGGTACTTGTCAGGCCCTGCCCTTACCTAAAACAACCAACAACTAGATCAAAGTGACTGCAAATAACGGTTAAATGACGGACAAATAACAACAGTTGAAAATCATGGCCAGGGGAAAGGCACCGTTACCAATGCACTCATCTCCTCCCAGTCACCAACTCCATCCTTTTCCACCACTCCTGGACAGAGAAACAAACCAAAACAAATCAACAAGGTTTCAAATAAAATAAACAGTTCAACCAAGGTAACGTGTCACAACAAAATGTCTTCTCCCGCCCCCTTTCGTGATGCAGACCGAACTTTGAGGTTGAAAGACACCTCTCAAAAAGAAAAAGAAAAAGTGAAACACAAGGAAGTTGCTCAGAAGTAAATATGGGAAGGGTTACCTGCAAAGTGTGGCATTGTGGTACCCTTCACCCAGGCTTCTGGAGATGTTGTGGCTGATTGTACGAGATCAGTTTGCAGAGATGGGGAGGGGTGCATATCTTTTTGTCCACGTGACGGGCAGGGCCAATTATGCCAGCACGTTGGAACCTGTGGGCCCTCTTACAGAACAACTTGGCTGAGGTACAAGATCAGCAAGACTTTCTGCCGCCCTGGGGCATTTTCAAAATTTGCTCTTTGGCTAAGGAGTATAAGGACTTCTGACAGTATCACACGGCAGCAGCGGCAACACATGTGCTTGTTTGTTTTATATAAGCTGATATAAGTTGGTCTTGGAGAGGGGACTCTCGTCGAACGAGATGTGTGCCTGGAATCTGAGGGAGGGACCAGCAGGTGCACTGAATGCAAAATGAGACCATTATACTGGGCGTCATGAGGCAGGACATGCAGATTGATTACAGTTGGAATCTGATGGGTCGCTTGTAAGATTCTTGGGGGGTGCAAGAGACTGGCCAGAGACAGTAGTAGTCACAACAAAGCTTTGATCTGACCTAGTGCAATGTCAGTGCTTTTGCTTTTGTCTGACGAATGTGCTGAGAACTTTGGATCCTACACATGCATTACCTTTATAAAGATGGTAACTGTTCCACATGTGATTTAAAAGGAAACAAGAAAGCATGGGTTTTATAAGGTGTACAGGGTTCGCTCAACAAGTTGCTAGCTTGTTATATGTTGGATACGACCCATGGTGGCTGGGGCAACCCAGTCAAATGGGTGGGGTACAAATAATATGTATTATTATTATTATTATTATTATTATTATTATTATGTCATTTGGGGTGTGCCTTGAAAAGCCCACAGAGCTGAAAGAGGAAGTGACAAAGAGTGCCACTCTTTGGACTTCCTCCTTTCACTCAGTGCTATTTTTCTAGAAAAAGACCTGCTGGAACTCACCACGAACGCTTCCCTTTTCTCTTATAATGGCAATGGCGCCCACCTGAGAGTTGCTGGAAGTGAGTTGCAGCAAGTTCTGGCTGGGAAAAAAGGCCTGCTTCCGCTCTGTGTATTGTTCAGAGGAAGGGGCAAAGATAACCACCCTCACCATTTCATGATAAAGGGGACTATGAGTGGGGTTCAAGGGAAGTCCTCAAGGGCAGCATTCCACCCAAGGTACCACACTGGCAACCCCAGGGCTTTGGGAAGGTGGCGCATCTTGGCCCATGTTCTGTGTCTGTGGAAATATATTGCATACTTGTATAGGGGAGAGAAATCATGCAGGAGCCCTGAAAAAGAAGAAGAGTTTGGATTTGATTTCCCGCTTTATCAGTACCCTAAGGAGTCTCAAAGCAGCCAACATTCTCCTTTCCCTTCCTCCCCCACAACAAACACTCTGTGAGGTGAGTGAGGCTGAGAGACTTCCGAGAAGTGTGACTAGCCCAAGGTCACCCAGCAGCTGCATGTGGAGGAGCAGGGAAGCGAACCCAGTTCACCAGATTACGAGTCTATCGCTCTTAACCACTACACCACACTGGCTGATCATTCATAACTCTAGATTAGAATGGAAGACTGAATATTTTAAAAACACACTTTGTTTTTGGAGATGCTTTGGACTAGAAGACAACGTGGCATCAGCAGCTGTGTGACAGTATAACATAGTGGATAGTGCTGCAATTTGGATGGGAAGACCAGCCCTCAAATCACTGCTTAGACATGACCTTGCATGACCTTGAGGCAATTAGTTTTAGCCATGTCTATTTCATTGGGCTGTTACATCAATGAAATGAGGTGGGGGAGGCAGAGGTGTATTACTATGGGCTGCACTAAGGACAAGTGAGCTACAAATGTGAGAGAGATGAGGAGAAAACAGAGATTGAGAATTGTTGTGAAGATGATCTCATGCATTTATTTTATGTACTGCATTTACAAACAGCTTAATATTTTTTAAAAAAAAATCTCTAAAAGTGCACAGTATAAAACAAACGATATGTTTAAAAAACACAGCATAAAACCAACAAAACAGGAGCATAGAAGCCCATAAAAACAAATATAAAACACACAATTCAGCAGTGCCTTAGTATCCAGTTCTACTGTACAATATTATGTGGCTCTATCTCAAATACCATCAAGGCTTACATAAAGTTGTGTTATAATCAAAAGGGTCAGGAAGTTGAGATAAATTCCTGGAATCCTTCTTTTTATGGCATAGAAATGATTCAACATTAATCACTGCCTTTTCGTTGCAGGGCCTCCTGTTAGAAGTTAAGTGCACTCTAATTGTACTTTTTGATCATTATAAAACTATTGAGTTATACAACCCTAGGCTCTGCATTTTCACTGTACGTGTGTGTATGCACACGTGAGCACGCAGGTCCGGGTGATGTGACCACCCCTCTTTCATGCCTACAGATTAAGTAATGATAGTTTTGTAATTCCCCCCCCCCAGCCCAACCTTTTCACTTCACCAGGTGAGGAACACCTCCCATTCCAAACTATGGTCCCCGTGGAGCTTTTATAAGCAAACAGCAAGTCCCCCTCTTACCAGACACCTCTTGAACTAGACATTGCAACCATGCCACAGTCCAAAGAGATCTTCTTGGCTGATTCGAAATCTGGAACAAAGGGTTCCAAGCAAACAGACTTCCAGCTAGTGCGGGTCAAAAATACTTGGTGCCGAATCAAGAAAGATGAAACCATTCATGATGCTGAGAATGAGATCGTGGTCTCCCAGGCTAAAATGTAAGTAGATGAGGTTACTACTACTAATAATTTTATTATTTATACCCTGCCCATCTGGCTGGGTTTCCCCAGGTACTCTGGGCAGCATCCAGTAAAATATAAAAACATAATAAAACGTCAAATATGTTATTTGTACAATACTCTGTGATGTGAAGCAACAGAGACTCTATTCCTCTTATTTGGGTTAAGTAATCATGCATGGTCTCTGGAATGGGAAAGCATGGAGGTATTAGATGTCGATGCCTAGATTATCTGTTCTCATATATTGTCCTGACGAGTGTCATTGCTAAGCTTTCAATTTCAATATCAATATTGACATGCAGTCCAATCCTAGGCATGTTTACTCAGAAGGAAGTCTCCCTGGGTTCAATGGGGCTTATTTCAATGTAAGTATTTTACTGGGTTTTCTTCTTGTTGATATTTACATATATATATATATTGTATTTGCAAATTTAACAAGGAAAAGGATAAAAGATAAAATATAATTAAAGAAGAGACAGAAATGGAAAGAAACAAAATAATAATATACAAACAATGCTGATAATATGGGTAGACCATCACCAGCTCACACCGCGGATACATTGGCCGTCAGAACACAAATATTAAAATTAAACATACATTATAAGCCCTCCACGTGTCCGAGTAGGTATCCACGCAATATTGATGCCTATATGTAATATGCTTTAATGTAGCCAGGGTGGTAAGGTCCTCAAACAACTGTGTAATAAGCGGTTGTTATTTATCCTTCAAGGCTTAGAGTGCACAGGTCTCTTAGCCATCTGAGTATGGCTGAAGTTGGAGACAACCCTTTGAACTCAACAGGGTTGAAGCAGCCTATGGTCAGATCTGCAGCCTAGTCAGAATAAGAAACCAGTTTCGGTTGAGCATAAGTACCGAGGCACAAAAAAAGGAGACTGCAGTGGCATGACTTAATGATGTTGCCTCTCTCATTGTTGTGCTAAAGCTTTCTCTAATGCTTGGAAAGTCTTTTGAGCTAAAATGGAATTTGATTGGGGTTGGGAATTGAACAGAGAAGGGATTTTCGATGGCAGACATTTCCAAATTCACAGACACGGGTAATGAACTCCAGAGATGGGGGAAAACAAATACAGTGATACTAAAAACCATCAGCTTGATCAAAAAGCATAATGCATTTGTCATAAACTTCAAGTGAAGTTTGCATCCTGCAGCAACATTAAAGGGGGGAAAGTCACAGATGGGTGAATGTCTGACAAGTTTCCCCCTAAGGACAAACGTTACTTTCTGTACAGGAAAGTCATCTCTCCAGTTAATTAACCTTTGAGTGTAGGACAATCTCCTTCTTCTTGCAATAGAACACATTTGTGACCATTAAATATTAACCATGTTGTATTACTTCACATATTGCAGATTTCCACAATATTTGCAGTTGTGTAAAGATCATAATCATCTTTGTAGAATCAAGATGAATTTTGATGTAGACCATCAACGGTTACAGATTTTTAGGCTGCATTTTACAAAGGTAGAAACACACTTCGGTTCCTGTTCATTCTGAGTCACTGTGGAGCTGGCAGGTTCTAGCAGTGCAATGACTCTGACAACCTTGCCAGCAACAGTGTGAGTGAACTACAGAGATTCTTTGACTGTTGCACAGAATTTATGACAGAAATAATGTGTTTGATTCCCCTCCTCCCCCACCAACTTGCAATTTTATCCTTACAACAGCCTTGCGAGGTAAGGTAGTCTGAGAGGTGGTGACTGGCTCACAGCCACTCAGTGAATTTCACTGCTGGGTTCTTAAGCGTGTCTCTCCACTTCCAAGTCTGACACACTAACCACTACACTACACCTAATCAGGCCCACCAGGCCTCCCCAGTTGGTCTTGTGACAGGGTTTAGCCCAAACCATGCTCACCTGTCCATCATCTGACAACACACAGCATCAGGAGCAAAGCAGAAAAAAACCTGAGATGCTAAATTCAAAAGAAAACAAATCATTCCTTCCAGCTGCTGCTTGACTTCAGCCTTTTTAAAAGTTGGCACCTTCTTTTGTTGCCCTGCATAGCGACAGAAAAAGACATCAAGTTCAGAAAGTGCTGCATTCAAACTGAAAAGTAAAAAAAATTAAGATCACACCGAGGCCCCATCAGCGGCACACATTTAAGGCAGACCACTTTAAACAAACATGGCTTCCCCCAAAGAATGCAGGGGGAACTCTTGCTTGCTAAGGGTGCTGAGAATTATTAGGTAGCCCTCATTCCCCTCACAGATTTAGGATTCCCCAGAGTTCCCTGGGAAGAGGAATTGATTGTTAAACCACTCTGAGAATTGTAGCTCTGTGAGGGGAATGGGGGTGGTGGTCTTCTTACAACTTGTGGCTGTGGTAAATCAGGTATTTCTTTTCATGGTAGCTAGAGGTTACCATTTTGTTCTCCTCAGCGTACCCCTGTGAATGATGTTACTTCCTCAGTATGTGATTTTGTACACCCAACAGAAAGAAAAAGAGAGAACCCAAGGCTTTAGAAAAGCCACAGAAAGAATTAGCAGAGGAGAGAGCAAAATGCAGAAGACTGAGGAGAGAAGAGAAATCTAAGAGAGCTTATTGGGCTAAATGGCAACCCCTCATTTGTTCACATTTGTTCACCCCTCTGTCCTTTAGAAGGACACCACATCTAGATGTTTCATAATGCTAGGTGCATTCCAAGGGAGAGAAAATGGCAGCCAGAGGAGGGACCTCTCTACCAGGAAGAGCTCCAAGGTGGCAGTGAGAGGGCAGTGAGAATAGCTTTTCAAAAAGATTAAAAGGAAATGATGGTGCTATCACTGAAGATAAGAGTGGGTCTGATTTTCAGCAGGGTCTCCATCAAATGGACTCTGCCTTTCACATGCAAATGTGAGAGTGAAAACTGTGGAGGGCATTTTGGCTCAGCTGTAGACAAAAGTAATACATATCCCATACTACTCACCCCTCCTCCCCATAATTCCCAACAGATCTGAAACTGTCTCGGATGGAGAGGTATCCTGGACAGTGGAAACACCTATCTACCTTTGCTATAAGGTGGTGGAAACACGCGGTCTCCTGGATCCCTCCAACAAGACATTGCTGTACGGGCACATCAGAGATCCAAAGGAACTGGAGAGAGCCCTTCACAACAAAGAGGCCCAGAGGCGTTTCATTGTAATCGATAAGACGGTCGATGACTTGTATGGCACCGCAGTCAGAGAATATTTTGAAGCAAACTTGGTTCAGTGTAAAATCCTTTCCCTGACCACCACAGAAGAGACCAAATCCATGGATTTGGTGCTTGATATCTTGCAGGAAGTGCAAATCTTTGGCATCGACAGGCGCGCTGAGCCTATTATAGCAATTGGAGGAGGGGCTTGCCTGGATATTGTGGGGCTGGCAGCATCGCTTTACAGGAGGCGCACTCCTTACATTCGGGTCCCCACCACCCTCCTGTCCTACGTGGATGCCAGCGTTGGAGCAAAGAACGGCGTCAATTTCCTTCAGTGCAAAAACAAGCTTGGGAGCTACGTACCTCCTGTTGCCACTTTCCTTGACAGAGCCTTCCTCAAAACAGTCCCCCGCCAGCACATCTCCAATGGACTTGGGGAAATTTTAAAGGTATGATGGTTTTGCTGCAGAGACTCCTTCCTCACTTTCACCAACTGCTTTCACACACTCTCTGCTCCTTGCAAGCTCATTTCCACGGATGCTCCCTGTTTATTCATTTCTCTCACAGTGATTTTTGCCATGTGGCTCTTCAAGAGGAAACTGGAAGGACAGGCTTCTTTCATTTATTGTTTCTGCATCTCTCTGCGACTCCTAAAGTGGTACTTACAACACCTTTTATCCCTTCCCTTCCCATGCACATCCCTCTACACATGGAAATGAGTAGTCCTGTGGAGCTGCCTTATGCTGATTGGTTGTCTCTTTAGCCCAATGTTTTCTGAGTGGTAACAGGAGGGGTGCTCACCTGACCTCCCATCATGCACATTGCTGCTGCTTTCCAGGAGGTATACAAGGAAGGGAGAGGCAGCAATGAGGTTAGTGTGGTGCAAACACACCAGCAGAAACACCAGGTTGACTCCCCCAGTGTGTTTGCACTGCAACAACTTCCCCACAGTCTTTTCACTCCCCCTCTACCTCCCAGTAAGCAGCACTGATGCAGGTGATAGGAAGACAGGTGAGTGTCTCCACCCCATCAACTACTTGGCAATAGCAATCCAAGGCTTCAGGTTTGGGTCTTTCCCAGCTTTCTTACCTGGGCTTCTTTGCCTGGGCATGCCAGGGATTAAATTTAGAACCTTAAGCATGCCAACTATGCACTATACCACTTAGCTATGGCACAAGTCTTCCTGATCTTGTCCTGCCCAATTCTTGCATATCCAGAGTCACTCTCAATGCTGCTACCTTGCTATTATATCCTATTCCCTGTATTGGAAACATCTTCTCCCTTCTTGCATTCACTGCTTATCTTTTACATATTCAGAGTCTCCCCACAAAACCCACTCCATTCACTTTCCTGGATCACTGCATGTCAACTGTTACACAGAGAGCACCATCTCCCCTCCTTCCTCTATCTGTACCTTTGTTGTTTCTTAATCAAACTCTGTCCAATGTCTTAGCATTTGTCTCATATATCCTATTCACAATAGCTTTCACTGCATGCACTCCTTATGAAACACCTGTCTCCTCTTGTGGCTCATGTACCACATCTATTATGTGGTCTTTTGGGGTGAAACATCTACAGGACAAAGCTGTTGCTTCCTTTTCTCCTGTGACTGACTTTCACTCCCAAAATATCAACTTCATGTGCATGCTAAAGCCGCTCAAATTGCCTATGATCATCTCTGAGATCTACCCAGTCTCTTGTTTTATGTGTACAGTGTGAGGTCTATGCTTTCAAAGCAAGCCTCTTCCTGGCATTATTGTACAACCCTCATTCAGTCCACTGCAACCCTTCTTTCTTTCTTTCTGTCCAAGATGGCACTAATGAAACACAAGGGCCTGTTTGACTTGCTGAAAAGTCATGGGAAATTCTTACTGGATACCAAGTTCCAGTCACACAGCGGCTTAGTTGACCATGGTGACGCTGCACTGAAGACGACCAGAATTGCCATAGAAACCATGCTGGAAGAGCTTGCCCCAAATCTGTGGGAAGATGATCTGAACAGGCTGGTGGATTTTGGCCACCTTATAAGCCCAGAACTGGAAATGGTGAGGAGGAGATAGCATATTTATTGTTGAACAACATTTCTATCCCGTCTTTCCACCCAATGGGCTTTCAATAATAATATCTTAATCGCATGCTTCCACGTTTTCAGCTTGTGACATATCACTACTTGTACCCAGAAGTGTGTGATGATATTGGGTGGAATTTAGTGTCACAAACTATTATGGTTGTTCTGTAAGCGCAAGGATTTCTGCTTGCCAGGTGAAAAGATCCCCCCTTGCCTCCCCGGTGCACTATTTTGGGGGTTCTCCTGAGATCCCCCGATCTAGTTGTGGGGGTGCAAGGGGAGGTGAGGGGGCAAAGCAGAAGTCCTAGCTCTGGCTCCTGCTAGTGCAACTATTTAGCTGAACCCATCTCGCTCTATAGGCCAAGGGAGCCGGCGTTTGTCTGCAGACAGCTTCCAGGTCATGTGGCCAGCATGACTAAGCCACTTTTGGCAAACCAGAGCAGCGCACGGAAATGCCGTTTACCTTCCCACTGGAGTGGTATCTATTTATCTACTTGCGCTTGACGTGCTTTCGAACTGCTAGGTGGGCAGGAGCTGGGACTGAACAATGGGAGCTCACCCCATTGCGAGGATTTGAACCGCCGACCTTCTGATCGGCAAGCCCTAGGCTCTGTGGTTTAGACCACAGCGCCACCCGCGTATATGCTATGCAATATAATAAATGCTTGTTCATCCTTCATTTCAGAGAGTTTTACCAACGCTGATGCATGGAGAAGCTGTGAATATTGATATGGCTTTCATGACTTACCTGTCCCACGTGAAGGGATTTTTGAGTGACAGTGAGAAGGCTCACATCATTCAGTGCATGGTCGCTTTGGAGCTCCCGGTGTGGCACAAGAAATGCACATGGCATCTTATCAAAAAGGCCTTGACGGAAAGATTGAAGCACAGTGCTGGACACATGAGAATGCCTCTTCCAACTGGACTAGGAACAGCAGGTGCTGGGGTCATCCGCTTTAAGGGCAAGCTGAGAATGGTGTTGTGCTTCTTTCTAAAACACAATATTGTTTGTATTTCGTTCTAAAGTCCAGACCATCCTAAAGGCTCAGGATGTGGAGCAACAGAGTGAAAAGCAATATGTAAAACAAATAGATGATAGATAGATAGATGATAGATAGATAGATAGATAGATGATAGAGCACAACAGGGTGAGCTCCCGTTGCTCTGTCCCAGTTCCTGCCTACCTAGCAGTTCAAAAGCACACCAGTGCAAGTAGATAAATAGGTACCGCTGTGGCAGGAAGGTAACTGGAGTTTCTGTGCACTCTGGTTTCCATCACGGTGTTCCGTTGTGCCAGAAGCAGTTGATGCTGGCCACATGACCCAGAAAGCTGTCAGTGGACAAACATTGGCTCCCTCGGCCTGAAAGCGAGATGAGCGCCGCAACCCCATAGTTGCCTTTGACTGGACTTAACCGTCCAGGGGTCCTTTACCTTTACCTTTTTTTTTTTTTAAAGAAAGATAGATAGAGTAGATGTCTCACTGTTGTCTTCCATCCAGGATGTGCCTGGGTCAATGTGGAGAATGTGTGGACCCAGTACTACCCACACATGCCCAATGAGGGAGGAAAGGGCCCCCCCAGAAGAAGCCCTCTCAAACCTGAAGCCAGCCCTGCTCACAAGGAACTTTTCAATGCTCTGCACTATGTGTTCATTCATACTTTTAGCAGATATATGAATAAGCTCTTGCCAGACCTTTCCTCCTGGAACTCTGGTTGTAGTCTTGAAACCACTTACTCCAGAGCAGTTCCAACAGAGTTCTAATCTTGGTTCTTATTTTACACTGACGGTATTTGTGGGAAGAGGGAAATGGTGGGGTGGGGAGAAACCTCTGCACCTGAAATCTCAACCATTGCAACCCCACAAAAGGGATGTAGGATAATACATTAGCATGCCCGTCACACAATTTGCAGTTCCATGCTTATAGTTTTAATTGGGTTTCCCTTTTAATTACAACCTTTTAGTAAACTATGACAAAGCATTTCCTTCAGATATTATACAACCACCAGAATTATTATACAACCTCCAAGATGTAATTAAACAGGCAACTTCAAGTAATTGCATTAGGGTTGACTAATTCCCTTTGTAAAGCTTAGCGGGTATCAAAAGCATTTAAGCAGCATGTGTAATTCCCATTACAAAACCAGACTTAGGCTCCAACCCTGCTCACACTTACTTGGGATTAAGGTAACCAAGTCTGGAAAGACTAAGATTCTGATAGTGGGCAATCTGAAAGAGCCAGGAAGAACAGCTGACAGAAAATGCTTTCTTCATCTAAGACAGGGACAGGGATCCCGTGGCTCTCTAGGTCCCAACTCCCATTAGCCTCAGCCAGAATGGCCAGTGATCAGGGATGATGAAGTTGTAGACAAGGAGGACCACAGGTTCCCCATGCCTGTTCAAAGATGTACAAGCACTGCACATGGTTGCGAGTCCCTTGTCATCAAGTGATAGCACCCAACCCTGAGGCCACCTTAGCTCTACCTAACAGAACCACGTCACGAGCACAAAGCAAGAACTAAGAGCGATTACAAAGACGTAAATAGGACAAGTCTATCTGCAGACTGCCCATCAAGTCACATGCATGGCTCTCTGATTTTTTGAAAGGAAGTAAGCATTCAGAAGACATTTAACCACAGTGGGCAACACTGAGGAGAGTCCAAGGATCGCCAGTGAATCCATGGACAACACAAAATGCACACATAGCCAAGCAGCACTCAAGGAAGTGAACAAACTTAGCTGCAGACCATGGATTAAATAATGATATATATTGTATGGTCAATTAAGCATTCACAAAACGTTTACTCAGGGCAAAAATGCACACACTCACACCACAAATACAGAACTTAAACACAATGAAACAATTGCTCAATTTATCAGAAACAAAAAGAAACTAGATAACTGTACAAATCTTAGTTTGGCACTACAGTAGTTTGGATTACTGATTAGAACTTTTGCTTTCCAGATATATTCAACGACATCAGCGAGGAAACCCTGGAGAGGGCTTACATTCTCTGGACCAGTGAATGCAAAAACACCTCTGCAGAAGCATGAATACAATGGAAGCAGATGAAAACAATAAATCACCAATAGAGCAACAGGCAAATTGGGAATTCAGATAAACAGCCAATGGGCACTTTTGAAGGACCGTTTGGCAAAATCCCAATACCTGTCTACATGAAGTATGGCAAACAACATGAATCCAAGATGAAATACCACCAGCCACTCCTTCTTCCTCCTTCTCCAAGATGGCTCTTAGGACTAATCCTTATACTATCTCTGTAGTATGGCTGGTTGTAGTCCCCATCTGATCAGGTTAAATGGGGAGACTTCCTGAGAGAAGCAATGCCAATACAGTGGTACCTTGGGTTACAAACGCTTCGGGTTACAAACTCCGCTAACCCGGAAGTAGTACCTTGGGTTGAGAACTTTGCCCCCGGATGAGAACAGAAATCGCGCAGCAGCAGCGGGAGGCCCCATTAGCGAAAGCGTGCCTCAGGTTAAGAACAGTTTTGTGTTAAGAACGGACCTCTGGAACGAATTAAGTTCGTAACCTGAGGTACCACTGTAGCATGGAAAGAACCATGTCATCTGCTTGCCTCAGGTAGTCTTCCTGGTTCACATACGACAGAATTGGCAAAAAAAATATTCTACTCACTGGATACTGTTTGGGCCACTCCCAAACTTTCACGACAAACCATCAACTGAAGAACTAATTAGTTAAATAATGTTTTTAGATTAGCAATGTAGACTCCATCTTTTCTTTTCGTTTATAGTTTTTTTCTGTCTTCCAATTTTTGTTCTACACCTCGCGGTCTATCTCAGAGTTATTATGTGAATTGCTATTCAGTTCAATCCAATTCACCATGCAAGTCTTCACAAGCAAAAGTTTGACATCTAACAGGCGGCTTGTCAACTTGGGAGTCCAGATTTGCCCTGAGGAATGCGATTAATCTGATTTTGTAGCAAGGAAGCATTTCCATTTCGAGGCATTTTGTTGTGTTTTCCTGTAACTGGTGATTTGTGTAGAAGATGCGTACAGACCCCTCCTGCAATCAGTAGCTTATGCGCTTCAAAGTAAAGAGAGCAAGCAGCCTGAGTGATGTTTGTGGCACTTTTTCTGATGAGCTTCTTTTAACATGCTGAGATACGAGAGTCAGGTGGCTGATTGTATGCATTTCCCCCCCTCCACAAATGCTGCTTCTTATGTGCATTGTACTGTATTGTATTTTGTAGCTTTCATTAAATCTCCAAAGGTCATCTGAGGTTTAAGGAGTTCATTTAACAAACTCGTCTGAGAGTATTAAGGAAGCAGACTTATCTTATTACTCCTGTTGACTTTTCAGCCTGAAATGCTACTGAGATTTGAGATTCTACCTTTCTCTGGAGGAAAGGAGAGGAGATGGAGAGGTTCAACCAACTCTGCCATAAGTCTGAAGTAGTTCAGCAGGGTTGGAGGGGGACTGCTCCTTTCTTGGCTTGAAACCTAAGCTAGCTTCTCCTGCTAGAATGCTGGTGTGATCCCATGGAGAGAGGAAGGATGGTGTGAAGTCTTCCTAATAGCACAGAGAGGGGGAACAGAGCCCAGGGATAAGGCAGAGTGGATAATTCATGACTAAGAGATAAGGAGGAGAAGGAGACAACAGAGGATGAGATGGCTGGACAGTGTTCTCGAAGCTTCTAAAATGAGTTTGACCAAACTGCGGGAGGCAGTGGAAGACAGGAGTGCCTGGCGTGCTCTGGTCCATGGGGTCACGAAGAGTCGGACATGACAAAATAACTAAACAACAACAACAAAAGAGATAAGGACTGAGGGGTGATTGATATAAAGAACTGAAGACCATTTGGCAGGGAAGTAGGATACGGTAAAATCAGCAGCAGAGGATAAAATTATTAGGAGTACTTTCAACCAGTTCACAAAATCTGGTATAAATCAGATTCCCTTAAGGGAGTGCCTCATTCCATATATCCATAGCAGTCAACTGTGCTCCTCAGACAGGGCACTGCTAGAGTTCCCACGTGTGCTCTTGGTCTGGGCTAGAAATTGGGCCTTTAGTGTTGCAGCTGTAGCTTCTCCCACACTGTTCAAGGGGTGGTGGTGGTGGTCCCCAACCCCCAGAGCAGCTTTTAAGGGAGTTGTCAAGGAGAGGGGGGATTGTCAAAAACCACCACCCCTCACCCTTCTTCCAGACAGATATAAATCAGGCAGTCTTGTCCTCAGTGTTCAGCCACTGTCTGTCTTGAGCCGAGGCTGCCGGTGATGCAAATTACATGCTACATCCAGACAAAAGTACTTACAAATTGGAGTATTAAATCACGATTCGCATTAGAGCAACATGAATTTCATTGGGTCTTCATTGGATTAGAACTGATCATATGGAACTAATCTAATGTGGTGTGTGGATGTCACATTAGTTCTGCATTTGTCAGAGAAATTATGCAAAGCTGCAACGTGCAACAGAAATAACAAATCTGGCATGCTGGGCCAAGCCCGCGAACACAGATCTACCTTCAACTAAAGCCTCAGGCATGTCAGTTACCTGCCACCCACGGTCATTCCTACTCCCCGTCTGACTTCCCTCCAGTAAAAGCTTGGCTGTACCTTGAGCTGTGCCTATTGTGAAAATTTGCATCCTTTCTCCTTTGGAATGCCAAACTACAACCTGAGAGGCCAGGGTTAAAATCCCCACTTACTGGGGGACCTTGGGCCAGTCGCTGCCTCTCAGCCTAACCTACCTCACAGGGTTCTTATGGGCATTAAATGAGAAACGGGGAGAACCACATACCTCACCTCGAACTCCTTGGAGAAAATGTGGGACATGACTGCAACCAAGCAATCAATAAAGACATAAGTAGTATGCAGGTGGCGCTGTGGGTTAAACCACAGAGCCTAGGACTTGCCAATCAGAAGGTCAGCTGTTCGAATCCCCGCGACGGGGTGAGCTCCCGATGCTCGGTCCCTGCTGCTGCCAACCTAGCAGTTCAAAAACACATCAAAGTGCAAGTTGGTAAATAGGTACCGCTTGGGCAGGAAGGTGAACGGCGTTTCCGTGCACTTCTCTGGTTCGCCAGAAGCACTTAGTCATGCTGGCCACATGTCCCAGAAGCTGTACGCCGGCTCCCTCGGCCACTAAAGCGAGATGAGCGCCACAACCCGAGTCATCCGCAACTGGACCTAACGGTCAGGGGTCCCTTTACCTAGTACAAATTCAGGTCTGTTCCTGGCTCTGTCTCTCATTGGCTCTGGCTCCACCCACTATTAGTCTCCCTGCCTTGCTCCCTACCAGTCCCATGGCTCACCAACGACCACCGGCCTGAGGATTTTAGGACTTAGACCCCCAGTTCTGGTTGCCCCAGATTGCTATCGTTTGATTGTAGCAGCCGTTTCTCAAGAACCATAGGCAGTAGAATTTGCCTTTTTTTCAGTTTGTGGCTTTGGGCGTTCCACTGGGAGGAAAAGGCAGGAAAATGAAATGAGAAACCAGCTGGTTCAACCTGGCCTTCTCTGATATACTCATATATGATGACGTGGAGGGATTTGACACTCTGAATGAACTCAGTTGTTAGACGCTTGCTATATTGCTCCCCCCCCCCCCCGGCTGTTACATATACAGCCGCCATTTATGTCAGAAGTCATCAACCTACTGCTCATATGTACTCGATATACTGCTCATTGTTCTACACAAATTACTCAATTCGGGTTTGTGTGCCTATTTCAGTTTATTTTTAATGTCCTCCAGGCAAGATGATGGCATTTTAAATTGTGTATCAGTTTGAATAGAATTGTATCAGTAGTCAGTGTTAGATTACACAGCCAACACTAGTTTCCACTAGTTGTTTAGTGGAACAAAATTATGAATAATTATGTTTCTCTATCTTATAAGGCGCTCTGGAAAATGGCAGTTGGTTTGTGCCATGGGGCTTTTTCAAACCCATAAAAATGAGCAGTTTCTGAACCAAGATTTGGGTCTCCTGGATGTATTTCATACAGTTAAAAAGGTTCTACACATTTCTCGCTTTGCCCAACATTTTGCACCATCCATCTGTAATACTGGCCAGAGCCACCAGATGGCACAAATGAACCTACATGAAACAAATAAAATGTGCATTAGCAGCAAGAAGACATTCTTATTTTTAGGCAGACTCGATTTCGGTTTTGGAATCACATCTATGGAACTGCAATCCCAGTGCATTTCAATGGTATACACAATTATTTGAGGTAATTCTAGTGCACTCAAGTATTATAAATCACTTTGGGGTTCAATTGTTGGCATGAAGTTACATGAGGAACCCTCAACAAACTGGGTAACATGGATCCTTGAACGATTTACTTTTTTTGTTGTTTCTTGACCATGTCTCTGTGTCTAGGAGTTCTTTAGCCCAGGAGATGCAGGGACAGGGTAAAGGGACCCCTGACCGTTAGGTCCAGTCGCGGACGACTCTGGGGTTGCGGTGTTCATCTCGCTCTATAGGCCGAGGGAGCCGGCGTTTGTCCATAGACAGCTTCTGGGTCATGTGGCCAGCATGTCTAAGTCCCTTCTGGCGAACCAGAGCAGCACACAGAAACACCGTTTACCTTCCCGCCAGAGCAGTACCTATTTATCTACTTGCACTTTGACGTGCTTTCGAACTGCTAGGTTGGCAGGAGCAGGGACCGAGCAACGGGAGCTCACCCTGTCGCGGGGATTCGAACCTCCGACTTTCTGATCAGCAAGCCTTAGGCTCTGTTTTATAGACCACAGCGCCACCTGCATCCCACAGGGACAGGGTGGCCTGATGCAAAAAGGAGACATGTTGCACCTGCTGAAACCTGCACCTCTCTTCTACACAATTGTTATAAGAGCAGCAGCCCTGCCCTCTTGCATCTGGACATGGTAGACCTCAGGAGAGGGAAAATTTGTGCAGCCTGAGGGCCACATTCTCTTCTGGACAGCCTTGTGAGGGCCACATCCAAGTGGCAGCCAGGGCCACAAGCAAAGGTTGACAAGAGCAATGGGTGCAAATTACCTTTTTACAGCAGGCTAACACACACACACACACACACACACACACACACACACACACACACACAGCTATCCTCCATCCCCAAAATGCATGAGGTATTACCTGAGTTCAAGGACCCATTCTGGGCAGGTAAAACCATTTGGTGTTGCAAAGCAGAGCCAATAAGCAGAGGGTGGTCTGTAGAGAGAGGGGGTGGCCTGGGAATGATTTGGAGGCTGTTAAGCACAGGGGTCATGAAGAGTCGGACACAACTAAACGGCTAAACAACAACAAACACGGAGCAGTGAAGAAACCCTGCAGTTCAAGAGAATAAAACGTGGAAAGGCCTCGTCTCTTATCTCGATGCAAAACAAGCAGCACTTCAGGGAAGGGGAGAAGACTATAAAGCTTCATTTGTCTACTCAGGCCTTGTCTGCAAGGCTTCATTTGCCTACTCAGAAGTAAACCCATCTGAATTCAGTCAATTTGGAGCAGCCCCCAACCTGCTGACCCTGTCCCTCATGTATACCAGTGTGATATAGTGGTTAAGAGCAGTGGACTCGTAATCTGGTGAACTGGGTTCGCTTCCCCGCTCCTCCACATGCAGCTGCTGGGTGACCTTGGGCTAGTCACACTTTTCTGAAGTCTCTCAGCCTCACTCACCACACAGAGTGTTTGTTGTGGTGGAGGAAATGAAAGGAGATTGTTAGCCGCTTTGAGACTCCTGAGGGTAGTGATAAAGCAGAATATCAAATCCAAACTCCTCTTCTTCTTCCCTCCCTGCCACCGATCCCTTCCTCACTCACCCCCTCCCTCCTACCTTTTTCTAGTTGTCCTCCTCCACAGCACCCAGCCTGTGCCGTGTCGGGAGAAGCGGTGCAGGCCGAGACGACCTTCTAGCAGGCCAGCCGCCTCCCATCTTTTGGTCCCTTGCTCTGGCACAACCAGTGCAAGGGACCAAAATCAGGACATTCAGGATTGGGAACAGAAGCTAGAGCGGCTTCTGCCAATCCATGTTGTCCCAACTAAATCAGGACACTTGAAGTGTCTGGATAATTTGGGAG